TTGAGGACCTGAGAGGCTGTGATTCGTCGGGTAGGGTTGGGGTCAAGGATGGAGTAGATGACGTTTCTGCAGCGAGCCTGTCGGACGTTAGCGTTTGTCGTAGCCTTCAAGTCTGCCGAACAACTCACTCTGTGCAGGGACTCGATCGGTCCATATCCCTCCTCGTCACGACGACCCTCCAAGTACCTGGCGTAGAACTCGTCCTCATCCTTGCGCGCAACACGCCAAAGATGACGGCCGGTACGCATAGCCATGTAGATGACACCGCAGGCCCAGACATCAACGGCGCGGGCATCGAACTCCTTGTCGGTGTATTCCTCGGGAGCGATGTAGGGGGCAGAACCGCAGAGGCCAGACACCATGTGGGGGTCCGTCTCCCAGGCCATGCGGAAGCACTCTCCGTTGCCAAAGTCTGTAATCTTCAGGCCGCCACGGGTAGTGAGAAGCAGATTCTCAGGCTTCAGGTCGCGGTGGGCAACTCCCATCTCGTGGAGGTACTCAACACCTCGCATCATCTGTTTAAAGTAGCAATCCGCCTCCTGGACCTCGAGCTTGCCGGCGGAGAGCACGAGGGTGTACAGGTCACCGCCCGCGCAGAACTCCATAACTTCACAGTAGTCGCCCTTGGCGTCCTTCAGCAGGTCCAAGGTGTGAATGACGTTGGGGTGGCGGAGCGACGAGGAAATGCAAAACTCGGCAGTCAGGCGCTTGCTGTACTTCTTCTCCGTTTCCTCGGGGCGGCGGCGGAACTCCTTGACGGCGAACAACTTTTCCGTTCCGTTTTCGATCTTCTTGTGGGATATCCTAACGATTCCAAAGGCGCCACGGCCTACCACCTCTTGGCATTTTCCGTACTTCTCGACGAGGGACGATGTCGCATTCGGGCCATTCTTCTTATCTCCCGCCATATCCTCCTTCTCGGCCTTGAGGGTGTCGACCCAATTGGAGACGAGCGACAGATCATTGTCGGCGTTCTCCTGCTTCTTGCCGATGAGGGTGCGCCACATGTCAGAGAGCTTCTCCTGGCGACGGCTTGACTTGAGGTGGTGTTCATGGCCACCATGGAGGTCGGGGTTCGCCATGAATCGATGTAAGTCCTTTGCAGGCGGCTTTGCGGGTTTGGCGACAGGTTTTTCAGGAACCTTTTCTGCGGTGGTTGCTGAAGGCTTTCTTGTCGGGGGTTGGGGCTTGTCGGAGCCATTGAAGCTGGAACCACGGGGGCGTTGGGGCACCTCAATAGTGTTTCTGGTGGCGTCTTTCGTAGAGAACATGCGTGTGAGCTTGTCCTTCATCGAGGCCTTCTCGGCAGGTTTCGGCAGGGCCTCATGGGACGAGTTGCCGCTGGCGACGACAGACTGGCCATTTTGCGGGGGCAAACGCGGCGATTTCTTGCCGTCCGACTTAACTGATGAAGGTTTGGAACTGGCGGCCGAGGAGGTTGTTGGACTCGCCATAGCGGGAGAAGCTGAAGGCATGAGCGCACGCAGCAGCAGCAACAGCAGCAGCAGCAGGATGAGGTTTTCTTTTTTCTGTTTGGGCTGTTGGTGGACGAGATTCAAGAGTTGGCAGAAACAGGGGGGATGAAGGGCGGGTATATACGCGAATGCGACCAAGCAGCGGCCTTTCGCTTCGGGTGGTTTTTTTTGTTGTTCTGGTCTAGTCTTCCTCTTTCGGGTCTGGTCTCTCTTGGATGCCAGCTGTCGGTGACGGACAGATGGTGTCAGCCGCAGTAGGGGCGGGAAAAGTTGCAGCGAGAGAGGGTAGGGATAAAATCGGGGGGCAGCAACGGCGGGTTATGCGGGCGATTGGCGCAGTGGGGAGAGTTTAGAGACTGAGAGTTTTGCGACTCGAGTCGAACCCGGAAGTGCCGTCGAGCGTCGAAGCGTAGGTCTGTCTGACAATGGAAGAGTGCACGCTGTGGCGTCAAGAACGCCTCGGCGTAGTGAGAAGGGCTCGGGCCCAAGTAGACGTGACTCGTAGGACAGACAAAATAGCAGACGTGTTTCAACCCCCTTTTTTTCCTTCCCTTTTTTTAAAGGTTGTTCTGCGGTTGAAGTATGAGGATGGGCACCGTTATGGTGAGAGTTTGGAGAAAACAGGTCGGAGGGAGAGGGTAGCAAGGTGAAGAGGAAGGGATGGATGTAGGTATTAAGGTATTATGTAGGTGAAAAGAGTGGGTGAGAGGCGAGATGAAGAGAGAGTGTGTGTGAGAATGTGAGAGAGTGTGTGAGAGAGAGGAGAGCCAGGTGAGAGAGAGCAGTGGGCAGGACGCAGAGATTGTAAGGGCCTGCAGCAATAAGCGGGCGGTGGGCAGGGAGCAGCGGGTAGCGTAGCGGTCTGGTGGCAGACTGCGCGCGCGGCGGGCAGTAAAGAGTAGCCGGAAGAAGATGGATGGGTGGAAGTGAAAGAGAAGAGAAGGGGGATGGGATGGAAGGTCACGACCGCAAATGGCCCTCTGGTGTAAGGTAAGGTACGTAGAGAGAAGGGGCAGGAGAAAGAGAGAGGGAGAGAGACAGAGACTAGCGTAGGATGTGTAGCGTCTTTCCGAGGTGAAGTAGGGTCGGGGTGGGGCTTGATGAAGCAAAGATTGGATTGCCCTGTAGGTCAGTACAGCTGGAAGATGCACTGCAGTGCAGCGCAGTCAGTCAGTTTGCAGAGAGCAGATGAAAGGCTGGGTGGACCTGGGATCTTGATCTGGGCTGGCTGGTGCTGGTGCTGGTGCTGATACTGGTACCGGTACCGGTGTTGGTACCAATTGGGGTACTGGGCCTGTGACCGATGGCTTGCAGCCAACAAGGGTGGTTTTAAGGTACTGCGCAGGTTAAACCGGCTGTGTGGTTATGGCACCGGTACCGGTGCCACTTTGTTTTGCCTTTACTCCGCGCAAGAAAGAAAAAAAAAAAGGAAAAAAAGGGAAAGGAAAAAAAGGAAAAAATGGCTAAGGCCGGCTAGCGGTGTAAGCGAGCGAGAGACAAGTTAGGTGACGGGGCCAGTCTAAGAGCTTCAGGGAAGCCAGCGAGTGAGTAGCCCCCCTGATCCCTAAAGATTTGGGGAGGAGCAACAAGCTGTTCCAGACTGGAAAGGCTTGGTCACCGCCGAAACTTTGATATGTCAGCAACACCGGCTCCACGAGGTGGGAGTGCGTGTATGGGTGCGGGTGTGGGTGAGAGAGAGAGCTTTTGTGGTTTGGCTGCTTATTGTTGGATGACAGGCAGGAAAATCTGTAAACACCGGGGGAGAGAGACGGGAAAACACGGCGTGTGATCGGTATAGTTGCCCCCTCGTGGTGGTCTGTTTTTGGTGTGGAAGACAATGGAATTCACACATGCTTTTCTGTGACTAAGAGATGCCTCACCTGCACCCTGTGTCATAGACACAGGGCGGACGCATCAAGAGAGCCCAAAAATGTCCGAAGGCCAAAGTTGACCAAGCCACTAGACCTGGACCCGTGTTCAAGGCAAACGAAAACCAAATGTATATCCGTACCTCTTGTCGAAAAGAAGGGTGTGGTGAATTAGAGATGGTTGGTGGTGGTGGTGGTGGTGGTGTGGTCACTGGCAAAGGGAGATGGTGACTGATGGGAGAGGCGCGTGGACCGTGGTTGGCTTTGAGCTTGGTTGCTGGACGTTTGGTGTGGGGGGGACGCACGCCGCCGGGATGCGTTCGCTTCTCAGCGGTAGCTAGGCATTCCGGTCTTTAAGTGTGTGTCAGGAAAGGGGGGGTAGTGCCGCAGTATGCCCAATGTTGAACAAGCCGTGGTGGTCGTTTGGTTGGTCGGATGGGACCAGCTCGACGACGCTTTTACTGTCGTGATATAGACTAGCCTCAAATAGATCTAGGGGAGGGGCCAATGATATATTTTGGCATATGCCAGGATACCTTTCTTCTCTTTTTCCTCTCTTCTCTTCTTTTCTCTCTCTCTCCTTCCCGGTGGTCCCACGTCCCGAATATTTAGTGTGGCTCGTTCTAATTTTTCTTTCTTGCTTCGACGGAGACTCTCCGTAACCTTCCACGGCGGCAAATTTGGGGATGGAGGGGGGATCCAGAGGGATTGGCCAGGAGCAGGTCCGTCCATCTGTCACTGGCGAGGTATAAAAAATGAAAATCCACACAAAGCCACAACCTCCATGCGCGGTGCGGATACGGAGCGGGAAGCAGGGCAAGTACAGCCAGATGCGGTAACAATAACGCAACGCAGCTGCATCAGAAGGGGGACATGCCTAATTGTGGACCGCCGGCGTTGGGGGAAATGACGGTGGTTCAAGATAAGGTTAGGTTAGGTTAGGTTAGGTTAGGGTACAAGAACGGGGAAATGAGAAAGGGAAGAGGGGGAAAACAACTGAGCAAGAGACACAACGAGTCGTCGTCAGCTACCTACTGAGGTATCTAGTTTCGTTGATACTCGGGTGCGTTTACTTAACAAAGGTACCATTTCTCTTACCTAGGTACCCAGGAACTCAGGCAGGTAGGTAGGTAGCTTTCAGTGTTTGATTAGACCGTCGAGGTTAAGTAGCAGTGTAATCGACGACGATACACGTATTGCGGTCTCGTCCCTCTTTGTTTCGTTTTCCCTCATTTCCCTGCATACGGCGACCAGCCTCCGATGCTGTCGTCGTCGTCACGTCTCTTGGCTAGGCTCGGCCAAGCACCCAAGGTGCGACATAGCATCGGGCTCGAGGAGAGCCTCGGGGACGGGGTGGGCGTGACACAATCCGAACGAGAACCTGCCAGCGCAAGCTGCGCGCGGATGGAGTCTGCATGTGGCGACTGGCTGTCGTGTCAGTCATTACGTAGAATTGCCCATCCCATCACTCATTCCTCCGGCCAGTACCGGTACCCCCATCTCCTGTTTCGGGGAACGCCGGCCATGCCAGCGAACAGGCCCATCATTTCCCCGTTGAGAAGGAACTGGTAGGTACTTGTTACGTCGCCTGTCACCATGGTGGTCATTCTGCGTTTGGCTTTAATTTTATTTTATTTTTGTCCCACCTATCTTGTCCGCATGGCTGGACTGAGGCGGCAGCCGGGAATTCGATGACCACATCGTCCAGGGTTTGCGGCCGGCACATATGTCAAAGGGCAGATTCAAGCTTCCCGGGTGCTCTTTTTTTTTTTTTTTTTTGTCGCAGGGGCTTGGTTGATGACGCGGGAAGAGGACAGTGATTCGCCCAAATGAGCAGGGCCTGGGTGATGACAAGTCGCGGTGGTGTCGCGCAGCGATGCGTAGGGCAGGCAGGTAGCGTGCAAAATTGGGGCTTCGGGGGAGAAAATGTCAGATTTGCCAGATGCGACACCGCGGACATGGTACACGATGGGAAAGAGAGAGTGTGTGAGGGTGTGAGAGGGTGTGAGAGGGTGTGAGAGTGTGTGAGAGTGAGAGAGAGAGAGAGAGAGAGAAGAGGGGCACTCCGGCAGAAAAGGCACACTTAGAGGGGTTCGCCCAGGGTTCGAGCAAAGCCAAGACGGGGTCTGCACAAGGTGCACTAGGACCTTCCTGTGAGCTGTGTGTAGTGTAGACCAAACCTTGGAAATGTCTTGGACGGCCTCATAGCGTGGAACGGAAGTGCGGCAGCACATGCAGAAATAGAAGAAGAAGAAGAAGAAGAAGCCTGGCACTTCTCTCATGCCAGACAGAGGGACGAGAGACTTGAGACTTGAGAAGAGAAGACGTTGGTTCTTCCCGCTCGCTGATTGGGAAACGGTTGGACACTAGGAAAGTACTTTCCCTCCCTTCCTCATCTTCTTACCTAGGTAGCTACTGTTAATTGTGAGAAATTTTTTCCCATCACTACCGGCCGGCTCATCTCGGTACAATGGGAAGGAGACTTGCTATTTTGAGCCATTTTGCAGAAAAGTTTGTGTGTGGAGTGATGAAGTATGGCAGGATGGCGGGGGTGTGGGAAGGATGAATGAGCAAAGGCAAATCAACGAACCGGACCGAGGGTTCGGGAGAGCAAATTCACGGCAGTGGGACACGAATACCTAGTGGTAAGGATACGTGCTTTCCTTTCATGTTTGGTGTCAGGACCGGTCCTCTTTCCCGCATACCCCCAAGCCCAGTATCGTGGCAAGCGCTATACTGTCAGATCGTTAGGCGCGTGCCTCGGTAGGTACTCCGCACAGTGTCTGCGCAAGCCGATGACGTTTGCACCTGCCGGCCGAATACGCAGTACATATCCGTATGGATACATGATACAGGTTACCTAAGGCACTACGGCCGGCCCAAGACATTAAACACATACACATACCGAATCACTTGCTTCTTCTCTGCTCCGTTTCTTCATCGGTGCCTAGCGCGATGCAATCGTACTTGCTAGCTGCTTGTCTTTGCTGATCAGATGCCCGTTCGATATCAATACGCAGTAGTTTTGAATCTGCCTACCTACATAGGTAGTAACACTGAGTATCCTCGCAAAAGTCCGACCTCTCTCCTCCCCGCTGTCCAATGTCATGGAATCCGGAATCCCCGAATCAGGACAGCATTGAAGCACGGCTTTCCCTTTTGCCGCTTTCCCCTCGGCCACATCTCTCGTCCCCTGAACCCTTTCTCGTCTCTTCCTTCAAAACCTCTCCCTCGTGCTGAATGGCTGGCTTGTGCTTGCTTGCTGCTGCTACTGCTACACGCCAGTGTTACCCTGTCCAGCTCCATCCCCCGCCGCTGCCCTGTTCCCTGTGTCATGCACTGCATTTTGTCGTCCTCTGATCCTCTGTCCCCTGGTCCCCCCGCTCCATCCCAACCATCCGTCCATCTCCTTGCTCGTGTCTTCACCTCATCTTGGGTCGTGTGACTTTCTCTCCATGGGGATCGGGTCTGTTTCGACTGCGCGACCACGCAACCATGGGGGTCTCCATGCACTTGTGTAACCTTTTTTTTTTTTCCCTATCCACCCGCGGTTTTCTCATCCGTCATCTTGGGCAGTGAGCTCATACCTAGTCCTTCGTTTCCCACCATTGGTACTGGTTGCCCTTCCTCTCGGTCTCGGACCCCGCTGTCTCGCAGCCAGCTTCCGCAACTCACTGATACCTCGGCAGCTTGCAGCGATCCTGGGGGTGAGTACCAGTGCTACTGCCCATGATTTGTCCCCCATATGTATCCACGCAACTCGATTTACGGCGACACGTTTTGACAAAAACACTCGGGCAGCGCTGCCCCATATCAAGCACGTCCAGTCTAGCCACTTACACAATAACAAGAAGGCAGGAGGCTGGACTGTTACACCGTCAGCCCGGTTCTAATTAACCCGCAGACAAAAGGAGCCTTGGTCTTGAGAGGCTTAAGAGGCTAAGCCTTTCCGGAGCATTCGGCACGGGAGTACCGGTAGCTTTGGAGCCCCCTATACCGCTCGGCAAAGTCAATTCGCTGAGTCTAGCTAGCCAGATGTTGTTGTACATGCGCCTGTCTTTGCCTACTGCATCATCTAGCGGTGCCGCACTCGTTCATTCCTTGGCGGGCGTGCGGCAGAAACGAGCAGTCCAGAAAACATGTCAACGCATGACAAACCTGCCACCAACCGTACCGGACTGCCGGTACGGTTACATCAATTTCCCGCCCACGGGCAATCTTGATCTCGCTAAGGCGGTACTTTGACCCCTCACCTCTCGCCGTCTCATGGTGGCTTCAGTTGCAGACAGAGACGCGGCGAGGCAGGCAACTCGTACAGACATGACCGCCGCCTCTCCCCACTCCTGCATCTGCGTTGCTTTCTACTATGAGGCATTTCCCATCCATGTCTCTCAACCCCTCATGGCCTGCCGTAACTCATTTCGACTTGTCGACACGACAGACCTTCCCAATACTATGCCGCAGCGCCCGTTTCGGCCTGTGCCTCTCAACGGCCTGGCGGAACTCCCGTGTTTGGCCATTGGTCAGTCGGTACGCGCGAGTTGATTCGACAACCCCCTCCGATGTTCATCTGCCCGAAGACAGATCACCTATCAGAGCTGCAAAACCAAGCCAAGCCAAGCCAAGCCAAGCCAGCCCAGGGCCAGGACCAGGTGTGGGAGAGAAGAGGCAGAGGCCCGCAATTAAGAGGCCGCCAGCTGCAGCTGTCCTACGCTTATTGCTCGTCCTGCAGACTTGTGCAGATACGTAGTATCGACGATACCCCGACCCAACCTCACATGCAGGGCCAACGACAGCCAGGCGGAGGAAGCTCTGGCCTCCCCTCAGACCCGTTGGACAGCTTGCAGCTAGCACACTACTATGTATGTAGCTGTTGGAGCTGAGTGGGGGAGGGGGAGGGGGGAGGATCCCCGATGCCCTCGCTCGTGCTAGTCGAATCAACCTCAATAGCAGGGCGGCTCCCCCTCACCGTCTCTCCAAACCTCCCATTGCCGCAAGTGGTGATATGACTGCGTCCCTACTGCTGCTCTGCTGAATGTTTGTCCATGCCGGCTTCCTGTTCACTCGAGAGACTGAAAATCGGGGGAGCTGTTCGAAAGACATGGTCCCAATCCCACCAGACAACCAGAGGTTCTCCGGCCGCAACCCGATCCATCTCCGGTTCGGGCGGGTAAAGGAGGGCTTTGGGCAGGATGCGCTGGTATTGGTGCCAAGAGCAGTTGACTGTCCCGCTCATCATTCATTTCTGATATACGCTCCTGTTTGCTTGCCCTCTTTCGTCTGACCCTCGCGCATCTCTTTTGGTTCGCCCGAGGCATTTCCATTGGCGCGAGTGCAAGTGCATGTGCATGTGCTTCGCATTCCCCCCCTAAAACAAAATCCCTACAGCTGATGATGTGCTTGATTGTGCGGATGAAATGGCCCAAATGTCGAGACTGCCTGCGGCCGCCTAGTACGGTCAACACCGCTTCTCCCCTGCTGCTCTCGGGCAGCACCCCCGGTCAACCGCTTGGCGGTGATGTTCGACACTCACCTGTCTTCACCTGTCTCGGCGACCTCGTGTAAAGAAGCTCGCAGCTCAGTGGCCCGTCAGCTTCCCAGCAGCCTGGCGTGCTGTGTCTTGCCAGCATGTACATACCCTTCCCGGCTGCACGAGCCCGCGAAAACGCCAGCCGAACCGTCTGGCAGGTTGGCTCGAACGCACGAGTCTCCCCACACGCGGCATGCCGCGAACTCTGGTGCAACTTCACGATGCATATCTGAGCTGACACGCCCACCCCGCCCCCCTTCATAGTGCTCGCAGCACAACACGGGTACCTGAAGTGTTCATGGGAGCTCACTAGTCAGCCCTACTGCGATCATGTACAGCTCCGTATCTTCCCACACTTTTATATCTTTGCTTATCTCGTGTGAACCAAGGAGGAGCGTTGGCCGGTTTGGTACTACCCTTTGCAAACCGCTGCCGTTCGGGGGGGGGAGAGGAGGTTGATGGGCTGGATGGCCAGCGAAGCGGTGTAGCCTCATAGAGGGATCTCCCACGGCGATCTTTCCAACTACTGATACGCTGCTTGACGGCCCGGGTGAACGGTGAACCTCGTTTAACCCTCGGTGTGCCTTCAGAGGCCTACAATGTTGGCACGTGGTTACATGCCTGCCCGCGGGTTGGGACCTGAACCTCGAGGGCCTTTGCTTGCTCCTCGACAACATCGCCGACCGTGCCAAGGTAACCCGACACTAGCCCGCACCCTGTCAGTTCTCATGGGGCATGCACCAAAAGGCGGAGGGCGGAGGATGAGCGTTCTTGTCTCGTCAGCCGTCTCGGCTAAAGCTTAGCATTGTTTCGCGTCGCCTGGTGGCGTTGTCTTCCTAGAGGCCTGGGAAACAGGTCGCTTCTCAGAAATCAGGCGCACTTGGCTTCGGGTGAACACGGCGGGGGACCTCGCCGTCGACAGACAAGGAGAGGCGAGGATTTGCGGTGTAAGTGCGTCAGACGGTGCGCGATGGAGGATGGATGATGATGGCTCGGGATTCCCGTCAGATGGTGTGTGCGACTTGGCGGGGCTGAGGTGAGACCTGTGGTCTGAGAAAAGAGAGGTAGGTCGGGCGATGGGGTTGAGACACGGTATGGCCTGTTCTCATCGTTGTCATTGTTGCTGTTGTCGTTGCACTTTGGGCTGGCTTTCGTAAGACTGGTTGGTTGGAAGGTGTATCGAGCTCTGGGACGGGTCCTTGCAACAGGCAAGGCTCTCGTCCTTGAGACCTTTGGGTCTTCTAAGCTGTTCTTCCATACATTGTGCCGTTATGATATCATGATGCTGGATACGAGGTCAGACTTGTATATTTGAGCCGTGCAAGTGATCGAGGACTCGGTTATAAGTCCCTTAGTGGCGCTGGTTCTGTATAGTCGCGTCCTAGTGTTTTTCTCTACTGTCGACCTTGCTATAATCTTTGTCCGTCCGATCACGAAACACATGTCAGCAGTGTAGCCTCGTGTTGGAGGAGTCCGACTTCCCACATAGCAAGGGGACGGGACGGGATGTGTTGAATGTCAACCCCCCACCCGCCCAAACGTTTTGTCCTTCGTCGTTCCCAGGTGTCCACAATGAACGATGCCTGCTTCCACGTCTGGCCTGGGTTGGTTTGTCAATGGAGGTATGTTTGTGTGTTGAAGCGGGAGCTTGTTTATGATGTGCACAAAATTGCAAGTATTAATCTAGCCATGTACCATGAGCCCGGTATTGCCAAAGCATATTTAAAACTCCAGAGTATGTTTTACGCAGAAATTCGTGTCTCAAGATACCTGGCTATAAGCTGACTTCTGTGTGTCTATCTGAAACTCAGTCGATAAGTGCCAAATACCGAGCCTCGCTCTCCATCTTCCCCTCAGCATGTCATGCCCATGCCAATGCCCCACAATAGACTAACATGGCGTAGCTACAAATCAGTGCTTTGAAGGTACATGGTCGATATACGAGAAACAGAGAAGAGACTGCTGGTCCGGTGCTTGTTGGCACAGATGGGTTGTTTCTCAGGGGGTGGGGGCAACAGGCATTATTCTCCATTATGTAGGTAACCTATATAAATCCCTCGGATGCATGGCGAATGCGACAGCGATAGTGAACGAAAGCGATGGAAGCTGCTGAGCCCTTCCGTTCTTATCCGGGAACTCTAGTGTTATGTACAGACATAGAAGACATTACAGAACTTGACTCTCAGGGTTGAACCGTCGCCTCTTAGGAAACCAGCATGTAGAATGGCCAATGGAAGGAAGTCTGTAGGCCTTCCCTGGCGAGGTGGTTTGGCCAGCTGTAGTTTCCAATAGTGTTCTTGTAGTGTTGGTGAGAGGTTGCGTCACGGCAAGAAAGCAGATGCCGCCGGTCTAGAAGGAACAACGTCGGTGTTGGTTCCCCATCCCAAGGCACGTGGGAACAAGAAACCCGCGGGTAGCGCGCCAGGCAACCGGAAAGAGGTGGCCGACTCCCTCCGCCTTGTTTCGACGTCAAGCAGTGCGTCATGGGGTCATGTGTCTGCAGGTACGCCGGTCCTTCGTGGATATGTTCTTCGAGTGCACCCTGTAAGTTACGAAAAGAGCGCCAAGAACCGATGGTTGAAGGGTTTCGTGCACGGCTTTGTAGGATTTGCTTTTTGGGTCGCACATGCCTGAAATTCCGCGGTTTCCATCTCTACATTCGGTGTATCAAGATGCCAGAGTCCGTGATCACGATTTAGTACAATAAAGGTGTAACTAGGATCAAGGACAGGGCAGGATTGATTCCCTGCAAGCGAGGAATGGAGAAGGCCTGGGGTATCGACATGCTTCCTGGTTGTGTCTGGGCCACTCATCCCCCTCTTTCCATCGTGAAGCGGTGCGCATCATCCCAAGACGGAACAATACTTAAGCGTACCATCCTGTTCATTCAGAGCTAGTATGGGGAAATATCAACAGAACACGGTAATTATAGCGCTCAGAGCGTGTGATGGGGGACGCAGAGAGAGGCCGGGTAAAGTTATATGCGACTTCAAAGGCGCGAGCGCAAGAAGTTCTAAGACGAGCGAGCGACTAGGTCTTTAGACTACCCGCCCGTATATCTGATGATGGAGAACGGGACGTATTATCTGCATATTCAGCAGTGTAGAATAGGAAATCCATCTTCTCTTGTGCTCGTCTATGTAGAAGCACGTCCACAGCCAACGCACATCGACTAGACGACAGCTGCCGGTCACCAGTAATTACACTGCACGATCAATAACCTATTCCAGTGAAACCCCCTACTCCTGATGTGGCTCGTGGAGGAGACGAGTAGAGCCCGAGTTCAAGATGAGGAGTAAAGGCGAAGGGGATTCAGGTTGCACACTATTCCAACAGCACTGCTGGACCTTGGTGTTGAGGTGTTTACTGAAACTGGCAGCCTATTAGCAGCAAACGATCAACTACGGGCCTCAACTTCTATCTCAATAGCGAATCCGCTCTATGCTGCGGGTTTCCAGTCATTGCAATCAACAGGCCCCGCGCCATCACCTTCCCGCCATCCTGGGCTTGCTCTAACATGTTATCATCGCCAAAGATGTCCTCACGCATTTCCTTGACCATCTTGCGGCCTCTGTTGTTGAAAAAGCAGCAGCAGCAGCAGCAGCAGTTGAACAGCGAACTCAGCATGCGGGGCCCCGCGCGGAAGCATCGCTCGAGAGTCGACGCCAGACCTCGCTGCATCTGCAGATACTCCTCCTCGGTGACGATGATCTTGTCCGGGAGGACGGCTTCCCAGACGCCGAATATGTCCGAGACCTTGCCGTCGGTGGTATGGAAACGGAATAGGGCCACGCAGCCGGTCATGGCGCGCGACAGGAAGGTGAGGGTGCCGTAGACGGCACCGGCCGAGCAGGCCGCGTGGTAGTTGCTGATGGGAATGCCTGGGAAACGCACGGTTAGCCGGCGGCCTGGGCACCATGAACGACATGTCCCTTACCTTGGTTTGCAGCCATACGGGCAAAGACATAGCCGCCAAGCGCGTCTGTAGCAACAAGGAATATGGCGTTCACCTGCAAGAGTCGGCATGTTCATGTTAGCTCCTGAAGAACCGCCGTGTATGACGCAACAGGCGTTGCTGTCCGTCAAGACAAGAGCGAACAATGTCATCGGGTCCGCCAGTGTCGACTTACCCAGCGAAAGTAGTCCACGCCCCCGTCCCCGTCAGGCTTAGGCTTGATGTCGCGGACTGCCTCAAAGAACAGTGGAACAGCTGCGACGACTGCCGCAACCACGAGCTCTTTAGGCGCTGCTTCCCCGTCAGATTATGCCTCTCCAGCATCAGCGGGCTCGGTGGAAATATCGACTCACTCTCTTCAAGCAGTATGTTACCTACCTCCGTCATCAAAAGGGGGCAGATGCCGAACGAGGACGTAATCAAAAAGAGGAGGACGCGGAAGACCATGTTGGCGCCGTTCATGAGGACGATCTCCCGGAACGCTGTCAGGGCGGCCTTTGTCAGCCCGGTGAGGGCGCCCAACTGGATGGCCCGGGTCGATGCAGCGACCCCGTTCAGCTCAGAGCCGACCTTGGCCGCCGCGGCGCCGGCACCGGCGTTCATAGCCATGTCTACGATGGCGAGCAAGCCGAACCCCCAAACTGCCCGTGGGTCAGCCAACAAGTATCGCGTCCGGCTGGAGGTACGTACTAGCTCTCCAAGGTGCGCTGTTAATCGTAACATACGGCGGTTGGATTTCGACGCTACCCTGTGGAACAACTCGAATACTTCCTCGGTCTACCTCCTCAATGGATGATGTCTCTGAGTTTCTCCCGGCAGCGGGCGTTGTCTGACTGTTTTGAGCCATGTTGAGAAGTGCCGTGTCCGCGGTGTTTGGTGTTGCCGAGAGGCCCAACCGGTTGTCGCGATCCTATTTATCTAGAAAATGTAATCAACACCCAGCTTTCACCTTGGGCTAGGCAACCCAAGCTGCCGTTCCGTCATAACACAGAATGAAGCTACCTGCTTCCTATGCATGGGGCTGAGTGACCAATAGTTCCGAACATCATGCGGTGCCTCCGACACTTACAGAAGGAAGCTCCCGAACGTTGTGTGCTTGGATGTAACGGTGGCTAAACCCGAAAGAGGCTGGCGTGGGAGAAATCAAGAAAGAAAAAAAAAGCCTTCCTAGCAACCTTCTCTGCAAAATATCTCTTGGTGGTTCAGCTGGGGCTGAATGGCATGTCACATCAATAGGTACTTTGTATACTTCCACCTCCCCTTTCGGATGCCAAGACAAGTGGCTCTCAGCTTTTTTTTTGACAAAATTTTATATTGGGCGCGTTTTCTCATTTTGGGAGCAGAGCTAAGACCTATCGAGACGAACACCGCAGCATGGCGCAAGCTTCCGCGGCACAGATGTCTTGCTTCCTTGACGTGAAGCTGCCCAATAGGGGCCACAAGAGGCCCGTTGGAAGTCTGCCTTGGCCTTGGGTTCCTGTTTTTGTGGATTTTATAATAAGACCCGCGTTAGTCTGGATGGATGAAGAAGCCGGTTGACGAGTTGCTCTCAGTTTTGCACAAAGTTATACCTACCCTATATCCAAATCCTTGATGCCGCTACGATGGCTGAAGGTGCGCAAACGCCAGGAGCCTGCGTGATTGAAGCAAATCCTGATGTTACTGGGATAGGAGTTCGTCAGATCAGCACACCCGTTTCTCTCCTTCGTGCTTACCATATCCATAGATCCGCGCTTCAATCTATACACTCTGCTTGGCTTCCGGCATCCTCAAGACCATCATCCAACTGACCACTTCCGAGAAGAACTATACCGAGTTTTGCCAGGCCATCAACTCGGCTCTGCAGCTCCAAGGTCTTGCCTTGCTCTGTACCGCCGTGTACCAGACTTTCAAAGGGCAGCTGACGCTGTTTCACGCCATCTGCGTGCTGCACCTCCTCTCGCTACTCGGCTTCGGTCTCGTGGCTCAGCGCCGGTACCAAGGCGGCGGCCTCAAACGGTGGCTTGTGATGGCGGCGCTCCGGGTCATCATCGCCTGTGCCTTCACCGCGCTCACCGCGTACATCTGGGTAACCGCGCCGACGTTCGGGAACCAGCCAGACTGCAACGCATCGACCGTCTACGTCGTCTTTGGCGTCAGTATCCGGGCCACCAACGACGTCTTCCGCTACGTCATCTTGGCGCTGATGGCGTCCATGACTGTCGGCTGGGTTCTTAGTATGGTAATGTACGTCGTTCTGGCCCACTGCTGCTGCGGGGGCGTGAGGTCGGGCATGAAGTGGGCGCGGCAGGTGAACCCGGATGTCGAGGCGTTGAAGAAAGTCATCGGCCGGATCAAGGTCTCTGACCCAAGGTTCAAGCAGAACCTCATCTCTGGGCAGGTGGTGCAGCTCCTCATCCAGACGGGTATCAATGTCTACATGATTGTCACACTGGAACAGATTGTCAAACGCAATAATCTGTCGGAGGAGGAGAAGGAATGGACTTTTGGACAGGTCCTGGCCATCTTTGTACTACTTGGGGTCGTAGTCGAGGTGATCAATATCCTGCTTCCTAAGCTGGATGGCGACCTTGAGGGGGTGCCGATGCAGAACGAGATTGAATTGCGCCCGCAAGGTAATGCAGGCGGCAGGCGGTTGCTCTAAAAAGGGCAGCCGTCTCATCAGCTGTCCTCACAATCAGCAAATGCATTTGAGTATGAAAAAATGTGTATCCAGTAACCTGGAAAGATGATGCCATCACAGCGTTGTTGTAAAGAGCAAACGACAGTCCTCCCGCTATCTTCAAGGCATAACCTCCGTCGACTTGATGCCGAGATAGATTCTTGTGACCTTGTAGAGTGCATTGCGTAGAGTTCACTTACAACACCTTTAGCCACCCAGCTCCATTGACGTTCAGTCAACATAACCACATCGTTCAATGCCACTCCGCCTCGCACGAATTATGCTATGATAGTAGAACTACTAGTCCTCGCTCCGAGGGCTTGATTAACTTCATTGGGTCTTGGACGCAAGTAGGCATCATACCAATAAGTAAAAGTAAATACCGGACAACGAATCCCGACGCCTTCCGTCTAACGCCAGGCAATGTGCTCCAGACACGTATATAGTTGCAGTCTCAGGACCTCTCATCCTCGCCAGCCGCCGACTTTGAACCACCCGTCATGCTAGAAACCAAGTCTGCGAACCGTCCTTTCGACGCGGTTAAGTGGCTGTCAGCCCTCGGCGTGCCCGCTGGCGTAACGCCTCGAGAACTCCCCTCCACGACGTCGGCCACCTCCTTGTAATGCTCCCGGTCCCTGACGAAGCGCGTCAAGTACATGGTTGGATGACGCGTCGGCTTCTTCATGATGCGCTCCACCTCGGCCTCGTAGGCCTTGTCGTAGATGTTGAAGTCAACGTTAGTCGGCGACTCGGCTACGTCACCGGCAGAGGGCTCGTCCTCGTTGAATTCATCCCGCGCACCAACGCCGATACCGAGAATAAGCGGCTCCGATTCCGGCCTGTCGTTGGCGAGTGGGACCCCTTTCTGCGTCAAGTATTCGCGGCGCTTGGCAATCAGGGCCTCAATGTCCTTCTTCTGCGCGTCTTCTCGAACAGGATCAACCGATGGGGTAGAAGGGGTAGAGTACCCGTCCCTCGACGATTTCGAATTCTGCCTTTGTCTGGAGAGGATTCCCTTGAATTTGTGAATTGCTTTCATCTGAAAATTGTGGTCAGTCCTCTCCCATCTCGACTTCTGGAAGCTTACGTACAACACAAAGGAGATGGTTCATTTTCCGCGTAAAGGCGCGGCTTAATTCAAGCTCGTTTGGGAGCTCCACAATGACTGAGCAGTTGTCTTCCTTGGACAGTAAGGGGTCAGTCCCCTTTTTTGTCACCCATGGGTGTTCCTACGAACCGTCAGAAACATCGAAAGTATAGAGCAGCGTTTGCACCCACCCGCAACTCAGACATCCGAATTCGCTTCTGAGGATCCTTCTCTAGAATGCTGTTCATCAGGTCTACGAAGTCGGGGTTTTCGTCCTCTGGAAGGACAGGGGATTCTGTCTTTATGGCTTCGTACATCTCGAGCACGCCGTCCTGTTCGAAAGGGAGCTTGCCATAGCGCAAACAGTACAGCGACACGCCCATAGACCAGATATCAGCGGCCCTGCCATCGACATCACCATGCCTGAGTATGCAGAGCTCTGGGGCCAGAAAGGCGGGGGATCCGGCAGACTTGGCCGTCTTCATACCCTCGCCAGGCTTCTCGAACATCTCCGAGACACCAAAGTCTACGATTTTCAGAACATCATCTTCTGTGAGGAGAAGATTGTCCGGTTTGATATCGCGGTGGATGATGCCTTGCTCGTGTACTAGGGCGGTGTCAGCTCGGCCGAGGACGCACCAGGGGACAACTCACGGTACTCGATGCCTAGGATCAAGTCCCGAAACCAGTAACGGCACAGATCTTCGCCATATGGCTCTGCTTTCTCGGTGAGGCCGACCTTCATGACGACCCCTTTCTTGCACATCTCGAGAACCATGTACAAGGAATCCTCTTCTGGGTCGTCGAGCACCTCGATCAACTGAACCAAGTTTTGGTGGTTCAGCTTCTTCATGATAGCGATCTCCTCCCTGATGAAGAAGAGGGCGTCATTGTCGTTCCGGCCAGCTTTGCTCTCCCGACCAAAGTCGCCAAAGTGCGGCGAGAGAGGCGCGTTAAGGCTTACACGGTGGGCGAAGCGCTGTGGCCTACGAGCACCCTGTCGAAGGATGTTGGACTGGGCGCGTTTACGCAGACGGACCTTGGAGAACTCCTTGACGGCCTACAAGAGGTGAGTGGGAATCTTGGTTGTGACCAGGAGCTCATACGTATTCATTGCCAAACTGGTCAGTCGCGAGGTGAACGGCACCATAGGACCCTCGACCAATTTCCTCTTTGATAAGGTACTGGTTAATTCGGTGGCGGCTCGAGCCATCGTGATCCTCGGTATCGTATTGCGTCACGGCATTGAGCGTTTCCTGGCATTGGTGAGTTCTTGGATGTCCGGCGCATGTCATCGTAACTACCCCGCCCCCCGCCACGAATCACACAGCGCAGCGAGGTTGTCGGGACAAGTTCGTGGCAGACGCACCTTGACTTCACGATGGGCCGAGGGCGTTCGCCGATGGTGCCGCAAGGGGCTTTGAAACTTTGTTTGCTGGGCCGTCGAGTCGGATCTGCACCGAGTTTGCGACGGAATGTTAGATGTTTTTGCTGCGAGGTGGTGGAGTGCGGGGGAGGCAGTGCAAGTTGCAGCGCATGGCATAGAGAGTAACCTGAACGACAGACGTACCTGTGGGTAGCGAGCGGCGGTCGAGTCCCGGCAGACCCTTCGCCATGGAACCCTACGGCAATGGTAGGTGATGGCATGTCGGGGGCCGCGATGAACGTCGAGGCCATGGCCGTCGTCGGAGGGCTTAGAGGTTTGCCGGAGTCCGTCATCGTTGCCTGCGCAGGTGTAGATGGAGGGGAAAGAAAATCGAGCTCGACGTGACGTGGAGAGGTGGGGGTGGGAACTATCGAAGCTACCTCTGCCAAAGGTGGATTGATGGATTCGAAGTGTGAGAAACCGAGAGCGAAATTCAACAACGTTTGAGGGTAGACAAATCAAGCAAAGCAAGAGCCTTAAGACCTAGAGGAGGAAGAGATGGACATGTGCGACAGAAGTATGAAAATAAAATAGGCGTTTCTTGCTTCCAGCTGCGTTGGTGTCACCACCCGTTCAGCCCCGACGTCAGGTTTTCCCAGGATCGAGTCCCCAGTTTCAGCGCCCTGAGGTTCCGTGTTATCCATCTTGTCCATGCCTGACCGCGTACGTTTCTCAAATCTCAGCGTCTCCGGCCTTTATCATTGGGCGCATTGTAGCTTGCAGGTCCCTCCACTCACTGCATCACCGTCTTTGGACTAACTGTCCATTCCCGTAGGGCCAGCGCAAACCCATCCCCCCCTCCTCTGCGCGCCGAAGGATTACGTTCCGTCCGGGGTGGTGGTGAGTGAATCCATGAGAGCTCCACCGTAAGGCAGCCAACCCAGAAGAACAGGGCCCCGCCATAGGCCCCCTGTACGCAGCCGGACCAGCTATAGCTCCAGGGTCGCAGTCGTACCTCCCAAAGCCAAACGCAACGGTAGCCGCTTTTCGGGCTGGGGCCACCACCACTTCGGCTGGCCCGAGCTACCTGCCGAGACTCCTTGCGACTGTGCATGTTCCCAGACCCGTGATAACCAGCAGCTCCAACAACAAGCAGACACACTGACAACGGCCACGACGACCCAAGTTGACGACATATCCCTCGACATATCCCTCGACATACATTGCAGACGACCATACACCCCTCCAAACGGCATGCGCCCTTAATTCTCTCGGCCTCCCCTCTCTTCACACCGACATCCAACCCCATCTAGGCGCACCGCCTCGCCGCCCCATCCCACCCACGATGGTCGTCTACTCCTTCTACATCTTCGACCGGCACACGGAATGCATCTACACAAAAATGTGGCTCCCTGCCGAGCGACCGGCATCTCAAACGCTCCTCCCTGTCACGGGCACAACGCCTAGCTCTGGCGGCCCGCCGTCGCAGCAGCTGCGCCGGAGCCAGGTCAACTCGGCAAAGGACGACGCCAAGCTCATCTTCGGTACCGTCTTCTCGCTGCGCAACATGGTCCGCAAGCTCGGCGGCGACGACGACGCCTTCATCAGCTACCGCACCTCGACCTACAAGCTGCACTACTACGAGACACCCTCGAACCTGCGCTTCGTCATGCTCACCGACACGGCCACCCTGAGCATGCGCAACGTGCTGCATCAGATCTACATTAACCTCTGGGTCGAATATGGTAGGTCTCCATTCATCCAAGGGAAAGGGGCTCGATATCAACAAGGGCCCGATATGGGGGCATTTGCTAACATGTGTCTTTTGTAGTTGTCAAGAACCCTTTGGCGCCGGCCGAGCATAAGGGCGGCGAGGGCGTGAAGAACGAGCTGTTCGAGCTGGGTCTAGACCAGTTCGTGAGGGGCCTGATGTGATGGAGACCCATCGCCATGGAGTAGCAAAAACAAACAACACAACGAAAGGCGACACGTGGTCCCATGACTAGACCTCAAACCAGCCGGGTATCCTGACGGGCTATTGTTCAATTCGCCCTGGCGACAAGCTTGTGTGCGAAGGGCGAAGCCGCAGAGGGCCTAGATATCGAGCTCAGGTCCAAGCTCAGGGGGCGTGTGGGCCGAAAATAGAGCCGAAAACCAAGGTCGGTGGGAGCCTCGTTACAATAGGGGTACAGCTCTCAGGCCGAAGCCGTCAGACGGGATAGACTGAAAGAAAAGAGCGGAGCTGCCGCTTCTTGTTCTAGGCCATACCCCGTTAGTATTGGTACAGATTCCAGATGAACCATCTATCTCTTGCCATAGAATTATACAAATGATACCTCATAATTCCCGTACCCAGCTTCGTCCATCCATTCGCGCCATCGTATCCATGATACTCATTAAAACTTGGTCGTGTGCTCAACTCATGTATCAAAATCATATTCGAAGCGGGAGCTGTATTCCTGAAAAGCTTGGGCTTATCCCTATTTCGTGTCAACGGCCCGGTCCCATGCACTCTCGAAGCTTGTAGCCGGATTCACCATGACTACGCTCTCCTCCCCAGTTCCCTGCGTTGTCCCCTGTGTCTGGCTGGGTATATTGATGGCGGTCGTGGTACCCTGGCTGGCCCTCACGTCCACGGCGCTGGTCATGATACCACCCTCATCGTCGTGGATCTCGTTCTCCCAGTTGCTAGAGTACACCACGGCTGCGAACCCCTCGAGGTCGCGCACCTGCTCCATCTCCTGGAGGTACTCGTTGGGCATGCCGTTCCCAATGACGTGCGCCTGCCGCGTGAGCACTGAGAGGATCTTGGGTAGCAGAACAACCTGCGACGTGCGCGGCTCGGACTGCGCCAGGTCGGGCTTGCCGAATGCTGCCGATGCGAGCTTCTTGTCCACGAGCAGGGAGAAGCCTGCGTCTAATATGAGGGTGAGCACGTGCGTGAAAGAAGGGGACTCGATGAGATCAGATGTCTCATCGAGGAGCCTCCTCACGGCGGGTGACGACGCCGGCGACTGCGACGTTGTACTTTCAGACAGGACCACAATGCTCTCCTCGAGGATGCCCGACTCACGCAGGACATAGTCCTCGCGGTCACGTGGTGGGAGGAGGTAGGGCAGCCACTTCGCCGCCCTGCGCTCCTCGGGGGTGGCGCCCTCAACAATCTTGCGCACCGCGAGCGTTAGCTCCGAGAACTGCTCGAAGCTGAGCAGATCGCGCGGGCTGAGTTGGCCAAAGACTTGGCGGACGGCGGCCTCGACGCGCTGGCCGAGCTCCTTCCACCCTTCGTTGAGGAGCCACCAGCTGAAGGTCAAGTAACGGCGGTTTGTCTCAAAGTCGTTGCCGTAGGGCTGGTTGAGGCCATCATCGTCGTTGTTTTCGAGGCTGATAGTCGCCTGCGCGGTGCCGGTAGCCAGTGATATCACGCTCGACAGGTAGCTGCGGCGGCCGAGGAGGTTGAGCTGAACCCTCGTGAGCATTGTCAGCAGTGCGAGGGTATACAGCAGTGTGAATGCTCTCGTAATGGCTACGCTCGTGGTCAGCATCTCCCTAATACGTGTCGGGTGCATTGCCTTTTACTCACAGCTTATGGTTAAATCGGCCCATAATTGCCTCTTGGACTTCTTGTTCTTCTGTGCCGCCGCCGCAGCCGCAGCGCCACCATCCTGCGGCGCACTACCCTCGGCTCTTTCCGTGGGCGCAGCTGACATCGCGTTCGGCACCGTCACTATACTCGCATGCACACCACTCTCGCTCTGTACGCTGCTACTGACCATGCTCCTGCCGTCGTCCTCGGTCATGGTAGTATCAGCAATGCTCGGGGGGGCGACGTTCTCGCCGGCCTTGAGACTCTTTGTTTGTCCCTTCATCTTCTGTATTTCATACGTGATATTCTCCGTATTCATGGCCTCTAGGATGTTGGTCGTCGCTGAGGGGAGGAGGGCGAGGACGGTGAAGGTGCAGTCTTCCTGGTTCTGCTCGAATCGACGGCGGAGGCTGCTCCCATCGCGATTTATTGTTAGCCCGATGGGTTTTCATAGAGAACCAAATGGAATTCAGGATGGATGGACGTGAAAAGAAGCTCACTTCTCCTTCGCGATGCGGTCGCTGCCCATGCGCTCCCGCGCATCGTTAACCTTGCCCAGAACATACTGCGTCACGACATAGCCGGCGCCGACGACCCCGACGCCGATGGCGAGAGGCGTCCTATTCTTGCGGAACCATTGCCGAGTCGCTTCCAACATGGTAATCTGATATGCGACGTGGCGACAGAATGTTTGAGGCGTCGCCCGAGTTGGGGTTGGGAGTAAGTACTAAGAGACTGTAGAACGAAATTGAACGGTAGCCAGGGAGCAGAAGAGATGAAGGCTGATGAATCGATGATAATTTGATTGACTTAGTAAAACAAGATTTTAAATAACAAGAGGGCGAGAATTTGGCTTGAAGAGGACTGAGATTTCTCTATTCTCCCAATGCACCCGAGATTGGCTGTTCTGGGTGAGCGCCGGGGAGGCTTGTCGGCAAGTAGTAACTTTTGGGGGGCAGTTGAGAGCTGCTGGTCCTTGCTGCTGCTTTGTGAGTCGTGAACCGTGATTACCTCGGCCCAGCCACACTTGCGTACCGCGTCATGCTATTTAATTCATGATCGTGGACCTATTGGAGCCCCTAACAGCTGTGGCTGAACCGCCCCTCAAAGTAACAATGTCATCCAAGGTACCTACAACAACGTACCGACAACCGGCCACTGCCCGCCGCTACTCCTACACGGCATCACAGGCAGACGCTCTTCTCCTCGGGACCCAGCTCGGGTGAACCCCCCATCTATCCCCTGCCTCTAATCCCCCTCCTCTCCTTCCTGGGACATGCCCCCTCCCCCTCCCTTCTCCGCCTACCCCCCCCTTATCGGTGCGGCGCATCTGCGCTAGGCTGAGCTTTGCCCCTCAGTATACGACACTCACTTCCTTATCACTATCAGAGAGGCCGGTCGTCACTGCTTACTTGAGTTGCGGCTATCATCCCTACGCCTCACGCCAGCCGCATTGTCCAACGACCACTACCGTTACAAAAACCACATATAACGCATAACGCCGCTCACCAGACACGATGCAGCAGCAGACCCCTCCCGAATTTATCCTGGACGCCTTCGCTGACCCAGCGTCCGTCCGCGATGTGGTCAAAGGTAGACTGTTTTCTTACATGTCACTTCTCCCTTCCTGCAGCCCGCAGCGGCAGCCCTGCTAGACGTCATATCGCTCACGAACGAGCAACCTTCTGCACCTTAAACACCACGCTGACCGCTTTCAATCTCCTTCCACATGCCCCGACATTCGGACGCGACTGTTGCGATTAGCTGGAAACTAACACTAACTCTATAGGAATCCTTCACACCATCTTCTTCCACCGCTTCTTCCCTGCCGTCGTCCCCTACACCCGCGAGGTCCTCGACTTGACGCTTCCCTACGTCGACGACGTCGAGCTCGAGACAATGATCGAGCAGCGTGCTACCGCTCTAGTCCGCCAGCTCGACGCCGAGCGGTCTTCATCATCAACATCGACAGGCTCGGGCGGCGGCGGGGGAGGGCGCGGCCAGCTCAACGTCCAGTTCTTCGAGAAGAAGCGCCGCAAGACCTGGCTCATGCGCGGCGACGAGGAGGTCTGCTGGGAGTGCTGGACCGTCAAGGTCACCGTCGCCGAGCCACGGACCGAGACTGGTATGTGCTCCCTACACGTTCCCGTGTCATTTCCGGACACACTTTCCTCAGAGGGGGAAGATAGAAACTGATAGACTTTGGCGGTACGACAGAGCGCGCAAAAGTCCGCAAGGCCATGGAACAGACCCTGATGACGACCGTCATGAAGGTCATCACCTTCGTCAATGCCCACAAGGACCATATCCCTCCGATAACGACGCAGGGGTCGAACCCCTTTCCCTACCAGATCAACATTAACCAAAAGGAGTCCGGATGGGCCACGAGGATGGGTATATACTGACGGAAAATTGAGACTTGACCGGGGCCTCTGAGATACGAGATTTCATGATATCGGCAGGGACCTTTGCAAGGGGAGATGGTTATGAATGCATTTTCTAATGTGACAATGATTAACACTGACACGTCTCGGCAAGGATATGTAGGAAAGGGCGAACACTTGGCGTTACTTTTGGGACAGGGCGAAATATTTACACTAAGGCATAGGCAATCTTGGGCAATTGTTATCTAGAGAGCATTCCAATTCGATACCCGTTTTTAAGTTAACGAACATACACACATCTTGACGTATATGTATGTACAGAAAAAGCCTAACGTGGAGAACTGGACAGAGCATATACCGGTCTCTGACGTAGAAGAACATAAGATATCGCCGTGGTAGGTTTATCGGGCAAGATGGCGAACTCAATCGTCCCACAGGTTCCAGCATCTGCATAGTGCTTGTTCCAAACTAGAATTGATGATCACTACCAACATCTTCAGCAAGCAGCAGAGAAGCGTATCCGGCTGCAGCTGCACACTGAGCCCGTGTTGTCCTACACACAATACAACCAAAGGGCCGTTCTAACCCAACCGAAAAAGCAAGTTCCTGCCATACCCATAGCAAGAGAAAGTGATCCCGAGTCCGAGTGGACGGGGCAAAAGGAGAGAAAGAAAAAAAGGCAGAACCCAATGTCTCCTTGCTTTCCCCCCAAAATGATGTTCCTCGCCGCCAAAAAGCCAGATAATATGTGCGCTGCTTTGTTCATTATCATAAGCAAACAATCATGGACAAGAGAATTGTGAAAGCCTCAAAGCCCGTATCAGACATTAGCCTTTAAAGCCAAATCAGCCCAAAGTGTTTTTTGGTTCCCGCTCCATTATCGTGTGGCCCGAAACAATCGCGCGAATGCCTGAGCATCGGAGACGTCATGCCAGTGAAGTGCGTTCATACATCATAACGGTCGTCATGTCTCAGCGCCAATGAGACTCAAAGGTCTCATTGTGAGATGAGATTAAAATTGCGAGGTGTAACTCCGTCCAAATGCAGGCTTGCCAGACTTGGAACCCGAAGACTTGGGTTGCGAGCCAGAGCCGATCTTTTCGAAGCCTTGCAGGATATCGAGGCCCGAATATTCGGTAGCCTCTTCCGCCAGGAAATCGGTTGTGTCGAAGGAGAAAGAGGGCCAGTCACCCTCCGCCGCCACCTCGTAGAAGGAGTTGGAAATCTTGGTCGGCGAAGGGAATCTCCATTGCGACGCACCGTCGTTGGCCTTGATGGGCGAGGAAAGCCCGTCGAAAACCTTGCTGGGGGTCTCCCACAAGGCGTTGGATTGCGCGGGGGCCTTCAAGAAGGGCGTTGAAAGCACCGACTTGTTGCCATTGCCAGAGTCGTTCGTGTCGGCCAAGGCATTAGCTGAGTGCGTGCGCTCAGGACGAGGCCGTTTTCCGCTAGATTTCTTGGAGGGCGAATCTTGCGGTAAGCCGTCGAAGAAGTCATTATCCATGTCTTGGAAGATATCGAAATCATTAGTGGTCATGAGGTTGTAGTTGTAGACGCTCTCGTCCAAGTTGAAGGCCGGGCTCCATGGCGCATTGCCATCGCCAGTCCCGGCCATTTTGCGTATGGGAGACTGGAGCATCTGACGGACATTTTCACGGTGCATGCGCAGGTTAGTGTTGGGCGATGCAGACGGCGGGGCCTTCGTGGGCGGCTTCAGCTTCATGGCTGGTGTGAGCGGTGGCAGCATCTGACCCTGTTGGCGGAGCGGCGACGAGGACGGCGGGGCAAATGCGTTGTAGGACCGACCCTTGCTAGGGCTATCGTAAGACGATGCGCGCAAGCGAGCAATCTCGTCCTCGGCCCTGCCTGCGCGATTGCGCTTCCGTGGACGGTCAGCTTCGGAGGTGAGAATGCCAGTCTTCTGCGGGCGCACAGCGGACGACTCGAGGGATGAGATGTAACCGCTGTCGTCCATGGACGCAAATTTTCTCTTGTGCGATCTTGTAATCGAAGATGCAGGGCCACGTCCAGGCGGAGGAGGAGTACGACTGCGGGGCTCCATGTGTCGTGGGATTGGCGGTGAAGAGTGCATTGTAGGAGGCAGAGGTGAGCATTCGTGATCCAGCTTGTCCTGTCCGTCATCAGGTGCGGCCGAGTCCGAGACAGGAATGGTAGCGTCGGATGAGAATTCGACAGCGACTGTAGCCTGCGAAGTAGGCAACGGCGGCAGCGTTGCATGCTTAATCGGTGCAGGAGGCGGAAGGGTCGGCTCTTGGATAGGCACGTTGGCTGGTCTCGAGGGTTCCATGCGGGTCGACATAACGGGCACGTTCTCGGCGGTCGTCGCGGTTTTCCTTGCTGGCTTGTCCTTCATGAACTGCTGTTCCATGCCTTCCTGAATAGTCCAGTAGTTGCCCTTGCCTGGGTCGTCCTTGGGTCGCTCTACCTTGATGAAGGCCTTGTGAAGGCTAAGGTTGTGACGAATGCTGTTCTGCCAACCCGATTCCTCCGCCTTGTAGAACGAGTAGGTGTCGGAAATCCACTTATATATCTGGGCGAGGGTCAGACGCCGTTGTGGCGATCGTAGGATGGCCATTCCAATCAAAGTCGCGTAGCTATGTCCCGGTTTCGTTCCGTCGTCGACAATTGGGGGAAAGGAATCGTGTGGGGGCAGGCCCGACTCGTCGGCCTTGACTTTCTTCAGCGGCCTCGATTCCTTGATCGGGGCAGCTTCCATCAGTGTGCGCTTGCCCGGGCCCTTGTGCATATAGAACTGGTCGAAGTTGATCGTCGGTGGCGCAGGGTATAGTTGCGGGTGGACGTTTTCCTTCCCAAAGCCGGCGGCGAGATCCACAGAAGGCGGCTTTTGCGCGACGGTTTTGAACTTGGATAGGTAGGGCTTCTTGTGTAGCGAGTCGGTGCTCTGGGAGTTGGTTGATGGAGGTGCCATTGGCACCATGTTGAGTTTACTACCTTGCGACTTGAGCGGAAGGAAGGGTGATTTTGAGTTGCCCGACAATGCCTTCAAGGGCGAGTGTCTGTCAGAGGCGAGCATGGGAGGGTTGAGAACGACGTTGTTGTTGCTTGTTGCGCCGAGTGGTCGTCTTGGGGGCTTGGTAACGGCAGGCATGGGCGCGTGGTTGACCATCGCAGTCGAGTTCTCAAAGAGGTCGTCTTGGTAAATTTGCAACGGTTCATGGGAACCGGCGTGCCGTGTTGGTTTGGCCATGTCGGCCGGTTAAGCTGGTCAAGATCGTTTGCAGCAAGCGTTAATGACGTTTGCGGCAAGCAGCAGGCTGTAGACACGAGGACATGTTAACGATCCATAAGGCGACAGGTTAGATAAGTAGTTGATGGAGTGGTCTTGATTCATTTGACCTAACTGAAGGGAGGAGAACAAGTGAGGAGAATCAAGGCTCACCTTGGTCGGGTCTAGACTCTGGAAATGACTTGTGGGTCGTGAATGCAAGGGGGCTTTTTTGGCGGTCAAATTCCAAGTACAGCGACGAATGGCAATTTTGACCGAGGTGACGCGATAGGCCGAGCGGTGGCGGATTTGTTTCGTGAATCGACTGAATTAATAGGACGCAATGCCTTCAGATGCCGAGCGTGGGTGATGGTATGTGCGCGTTGTGTTTGTGAGCGTGTGAGTGAAATATGGCTTATGGCAGCGGAAGGATGAAAAGAAAAGAGGGGATATCAGGCACGATACCACGCGAGGGAGAGAGAGGGTAGACAAGATGTAATAGGCGAGCGAGCGGCAACAGGCAGTGAGGAGGAGCAAGTAAAGTAGTGGAAGTAGCGAAGTAGCAAAATAGTGGTAGCGTGGGAATCGGCGGCAGAAGATGGATTGATTTCAGCCAAGGCGAGTGGAGAGGACCGGGATGTCTTTGAAGAGGTGGGCGGCCAGCTCAGCAAGCCCAGAGATGCCGGGTGGAGCCTCTGGAGCTCGGGAGGAATGGGCGATTGGACGAGAGGAGCGTGGGCTGTGACACGACTGACCAGGCTAGGGTACGCCGAAGGTGGCAGCAGGGGTGTGCAGCGTAGACGACCTCCGTAGATGCAGGGAGTGTAATGGTGTGTGGTGTGCGTGAATGCGCTTGATATTGCCCGGGGGTGCAATGGCATACCATGCACGGATGACTGGGGTGAGTCTGTGAGATGGGGGATAGATGGATGGATACGCGATGATGGGAAGCGCGGACGCAGACGCGGAAAAGACAGAGAGAGAGAGAGTGAGAGAGAGATGGGGTCGAAGGGAGGCGAACGAGGGAGCGTCGAGCGTTTGATGGAACACGCCGTCCCGAACGAAAAATAAAAAAAGTTCGAGGGAATGACGTTTGGATTGTCGGCCGAGCACGGGAGACTGTGACCATAACGAGATCAGAGAGGGAGGGACGAACGGATGAACGAGGCGCGATGCGCAGCACACACACACACACATACACACACACACTACCGGTATCCGTCCCGTATCTGGGGTCGGTGCCCTGGGCCGTTGGTTTCTGTCAGGCGCGGAGGATTTGCGTTCGTCTCTGCGCGTCTGCTTGGGCCGCGTAGTGGAAAGAAACGGCCGGCCAGCCAGCCAGCTCGGTCAGTTGAGGCCTATAGCAGGGCGGAGCGAGTGGGTGTCCAACAGGCTTCCGACTCCATCCATTTCAGGTCGAGGTCAGAAAAGAGAAGCTCGAAAGAGTCAATGCTCTCTCTCCAGGGAGCAATCCTGTCAGCAGGCAGGGGCCAGTGGAGAGAGAGGGGGGGTTCGATTGTGCGTGCGAATCACGTCCGGCAGAGGAGGAGCAAGAGGGAAGGATATACCACACGTGTGGGAGGCCCAAAGAGGTGACGACAATTGTACGAAATGTGAATGGGCAATACCGGGCGACAGGTCAGGAAGGCTGCCTACTTACTTACCTACCTACACTACTGGCTATGCACGTATTGTATGCAAGCAGGTTTTGCGGTTCATGCGAGAGTCCGTAGTGGGCCGCGCGAGCTTCATAGGTCGGTCTCCTCTTTTGCCCTATTTCCTTCCAAACAGAGACATTGTGTGCGCCGTCTGTTCTATCCGCTCCAGTCATTACACAATGCCAAAGCGCACCGGTTACGCCCCTTCAAGGTCCCCTACTCAAGGACACCCCAAGGATGATTGCTGAATGTGGCAGCTGGAGATTGTGAATGCAGCCCGGCGGGTAATGGATTGCGTTGCATGCAGGGCTCTGCCGGGAGGATATCTGTGGACGATGCAGGCGAATGATTCAAGCCATGATAGCAATTCCTTACACGGTATTTCCTTCTTGTCTCATCTTCGTTGTGGCGGCCGTTCGTTCAAGTCCGTCAAGAAACCACCGGATGTCAAAGAACGCCGAGCGGAACCGACTCCAGTTGGTAGTAGCCCCAAGGTCTCAAAAAAAGGGACACGATAAAATCAGACCTTGCTTCTTCTGGGCATGGCGTGGTGTTAGTTCGGTCACGGTGGTGGGTTGCACGGCTAAGCGCCCACCTGCCGTCATTCGGCCGATCAGCAGCCGTAGCAGTACTGGGCTTTCCTATCTGAGAGGCGAAATTTCGTCAAGCGAAAGCTGTTGTGTGCGTTGCCTGTAGGCCGGCTTGGCTGACTGGCTAGCGGGCGGGAAAGAGGCCAATGTCTCGCTCTGCGACGAGATTTCCATCTGTGTGTGGCATCACCTCGTCTACCTAGTCTTCCCATGATGGCCTTGTGCGTACAGTGCTGATGCTGGTGTTGATTGGGTCGAGAGCTTGAGGAAGACGAAATAGAATGAAGTCGGCGCGTAAATGACGCGTTTCGCCAGTTCGGGAAAGGACAACAACGCGTGCTCTTTTCACCAATCAACCCACCGCGCAGCGATAGCAGGCCCTCCCTGACTGGCTATCGTGGTCCGTCCGATGAAAGCCGGGTTCTCCTAACCAATTCGCATATGGGGGAGTCACGAATAACCGCTGGAAGGCTGAACAGAGAGCCCGATCTCCTTTCGTCTCAACCTTTTTCTTTTTTCTTTCTTGTCGGACGACGCAGTTCAGTAAAACTTTCGGTCCCTTATTAATTTTTACCCCCCCTCTCGTCTAGCACTGGAAGAAGGAATTGTCTCGCGACGATTATCCCCGTAGTGAGACTGAGACCACCTCCCCAAAGAGTCAAGATCCCATCTTGAGCTGGCCAGATCGTCAGGTACGGAATGTATGTGACCGTCGTTTAACTCTGCCGATGATATAAGACGGGCGGCGATTGCGCTCGTCCATTCCGATCCTGCTCATCTTTCGTTCCCGTGCTCTGCTGAAAAAGACGGCGGGAGTCTCTGCCAGCCAGGCCGTGAGTATGGCCAGCTCGGACCTGAGGAGCATTCCTACGTGGCCGCAAGTGCCGGTGCATCATTTTCACACTCGCTCATTGACCCGTCATCCCCGCTGCTTAAGGGGGTAGGGGTGTCCCAGCAGAACCAACTTCTAGAACCTGGTTTTGCTGGGAACTCTACCCACGGATGGTGCCATTCAAATCCAAGTCGCAAGAGGGGAAGGAGGAGGGGCGGAGAAAGGGGGAAAAAGAGCCGACTGGAGGCTCGAGCCTTAATGCAGGGAAGCCTGGAGTTATCGGCACTGCTCTGAATAGATTAACAGCAACTGCACGGGTATACATACATACGTTTGAGAGGCTAGAATCCTATGGTGGTCCTTCCCTCGCCGTTGGAAAGTGAGTCCTGACAAATAAGCATGCCATCTTCAGATGGCCTTCGACCCTCATCATACATGTCTAGCAATCACAAGTAAACGGGGCGGTCCATTGGCCATTAGGGATTGAGGCTCTGGAACCCTCTTAAACTCCTTTCTGCAAATGCCAAACGGAAGGCAAGTTTCCGTCTCACAAGCACCAGGTGTACTGGGACGACGCGTTTGCTACGACATATGTCTCTCCTCTGGCCACTTGGCCCGAAACCTTGGGGTCTAGAAAGGCCAGCAACCGTCAGGTACGGGGAAATGGTCTCACAAGTCGAGACAGCATTATCCCATCATCAACGCTCCATCCTCCTGCCAGGCACCGGAGACCACCGGACCACCTCCGTTGAGAGGCATCTGACACTAGTCATGATGCATGTGAGCCTGCTGGCTTCAACCATCAAAGGTGCGAAGTTAGTATTACCCTACGTGCTTCGATGCTTTAACACTCGAGACACTCGGACTACAGAAGCGAGCGACCCCATCCGACGATGCGAAGATACCAGGAGCGGAACCGCCCTGGCCACACTGATCTGTGACATCATCCCTTCCTGACCGTCAATCCCTTTGCACATGTTTCTTGCTGCTTCCAGAACAGGAACCTCGTGTCGTCGCCCGTGCCCGGTCGCGGCCCCAGCTCACGATCCCCAATCAAACCGTTTCCACTCCAAACCGTCCCATTGGCTCCCCATCGGCTGACAGTGTTTCAACAAGAATTGGGACCAACTCCCAAGTTCTTGACTGTTCCTCCCATGAGCTCCACGGCGGTCTTGAAGCCACTTCCCGGTTTGGGCGCTACGTACCTGCTGCAAGTGTGAATGCGTGTAACTCACAAATGCGACTTTTCGCCCAGTCTTGCAGGGTTGTGCTACCTATGCATTTAGGTAGGTACTATGTAGGCACGGCCTAGGGACAATTAGGCAGGCAGTCGGACAGGGTTCTGGGGACCAGCTTCCCTTTCTTCTCTTGAGCTCACCTGGGCATCCTTCCTCCTCCTCTCAGTCGTCGGGTGCGTGCCGTACCTGGCAGATGTCCTCTCCCATGTGAATTTCGTGAATCCCCCCTTCCAATTATGCGCATTGCGTTCACAAACGGGGAGGAGCCGTCAGGTGCCTTTCCCACCTCGTCCCAGGGTTCAGCCCAGTAATCACTCCCTGTCGGTTGATCTTCGCATGAGATGCAAATCTTTCCTCCGGGAGATATCCCATCTCGCACATCATTGACAGCGCATCTAGCTCAACCCTCTTGCCCGTTTTTGGCATTTTCTGTTATTCTCTTTGCCTTGCTTGGTTCTTGGGCCGAGTATAATTTTTCATAAAGAAAATAAAAAATTCATCATCAAAAGTCTGCCCCATCCATCATCGAGATCGTGCCACGGAATCCGCTTCCGATCAAGTCTTCCCTTTCGCTTCCCTGCCAATACGCAGCAATTAATGGGAAAATTTCAAGACAACGAGGAACCAGAGAGTGACGAATCCTCGTTATTCTCTCCCCATATCTCCCTGCACCATCTTGTCCCCCCCGGCTTGACCGACTGCCAACTCATCCATCAAATGGAACTCGCAATGCACAAACGACCGCGGGCCACCCAACCCGCGTGCCATTCATTGCATCACGCTGCTACCGTATCCTCTGACTTAACTGAAAAACCGCATAGACCATACGCTAGACCCCTTATAGAAAGCGGTCAATCTATTTCTACACACACCCACCCATGTAACCCTAACCCTTGCCGCCTAACTTACTGCTGACGTAAATGACTCCCTGTATTTGCCACATCTAGATCCCTGTTTCTGCCACCACGCCAGCCCCTTTTCAGCAGCCTGCGGTCTGTGCGGTTTTTCAGTTAAGTCAGAGGATACGGTACCGTACCCCTCTTCATCCTCTCACCTTTCGATGCTCCCATGCCCCATTCTCTTCCTTTCCCAGGCTATCACTCTTTTTTTGCTGCCCCCTCCCCGGAGCGTGTATCCCTGTTTTACTGATATTAATAGCGCTGCTTTTGGTATACCCACCCGAAGTGCCGGCCTTGTTGCCATTGACGGGCCATTCCCATCCCATCTCCATCCTACATGTCTGCCTCGACGGCTTTGTCGTCTCTCTTCCTTAGCGCAGTATCACGGAGCACCAGGCGGGCTGTGACCCGGCCTGGTGGCCTTGCCTTACCTTATCATTTCCCAAATGGAGTCCACATGTAAGGGGTACCGTGCCGCCTGATAGCCCGACCGGCTGTCGTTCTGGAATAAGGCTAGGCGCCAAGGCAGTCAACCAAGCTTTGGCCGTCTTGAGCACATGCGCAATATCGCCGTCCGTCCGTTTACCGATCATCCTTTGAGACTGTGATCCTCACCACCCTAGAAAGAAGCATTGATGACCACAAGCTGGCCGTGTTGGATGCCCAATGCCACCATGCTTCATGGTTCCCATTCCCGTCTTCCCAACAATGGGACAACGCATCTGCCATCTCATTTGCTTCTTTCCCACTGCCTGCCTTGGTCTCCTGCCGAACTAAGTTTGCATATACGTACGGAAGCCGGGCTAGCGTATGGGTCCTTCGCCTCCTGTCTCGCAATCTTCTGTTCGGAAGGATCCCATTTACGAGGGCAAAAAGCAAACGTGAGATATCAACCAATATTCGATTTCCAGTCCATCTACAGGGTCCATTGGTCAATCCGTGGCATTCCTCTCGCATGGCACCTCTCTCGAGCTCGCTTAGTTTCCGTCTCCTTCTAAAAAAAACAAAAACCTTGGCTAACGAGGCTAGGTAGACCTCCAAAAGCACACTTCGTTCAGACTAAAAAGTCTCCAGGAATATCGCACGCTTACGAATACTTTGAAAGAAATTTCGGGACCCTCCCCCTCCCAAACGACCGCACCGGACCCCATCGGCCCTTCCAGCACGCAGGCACACAGACTCTCAGGACCGAGACATTGAGCGTAGCTCACCAAGCAGAAAAGTCTGCCACCGCTGTTTCCTCGAATAAACGAAGAGAGAAAACGAAATTCTGGAGGCTGGTAAAGTTGGATCTCAGGGTAGCAAATGGGCCAACCGCTCCCGCTACCCGCGAGAAATATCCGTGCATCTGTTTCATCATGTCGTAGTGTCTGCTAAAAGAAAAGAGCACTTGGGGGATACAGAAGCACCGCAAAGCATGTCCTCTGCCGACGTGTGCTGCGGGATATCCATCTTGTCAAGGTTGCGAGTTCCTCGCATCTACCTACGTAGCTTTGCGGGTATAGATAGGACTTTGATGCTGCTCCTCCACCACCTCCTCCTCCCCCCCAGAGGGGCCCGTAGACCCACCCCCTCCATCCTCCTGTCATCTTGGTCTCAGTCTTTCCTCAGCGAATGCAACCGTGTTCGAGCTTGAAAGCTGAGCTTCACGCTGGATCCGTAACCGTGCCCTGCTAGAGAAAGACGTGCATATGTAGAACATCCTTAGGCCAGTCTATGCCATATGATCAACTTAGCTTTAGCCTCGCGCCCACCTTAGCCTCGACCACATCTCACCAAGACCAGCGCTTCCGGAGAGAGCCGGTCCAGGGATGCCGACTGCTTGCTATTGCAGCAGAGACATCAGAGTCGTAGACAGGTACTTGAAGAAGATACACACTACGGCGGAGCCAGCAGAGCAAGGGGCCGATCGCATCCGCACTTCATGCACCTCCAGACCACGCCCCGTTTGCCTCCTCCCCTGGGTCTGGTTCAACTTCATGTCAACAAACACCAGGAGGTGCTTGTGTATCTTTGTTGCCAGGCTCGATGTTGTGCCTGTCAGCCGGGCCATGTTAACGCCAGACGTCTCGTGGGGTCACTTGGCTGTGCGACCGTCTGCCTTCCCCTCCCCCAACAGGCCGGAGGTATGCGCGAGATCGCCCATCTAGACTCTCTCCCTGTCCCTACCCAAGTCACAGTAGAAAAGAGAAACGCCATCCGCTCGTTCGCTGGCGCACTCGCGAGGCCAAACGAGAAAAAATTTGAGTGGGAAGAAGAAAAGAAGGAGAGTCTGACTCCCCACAACGTTCCGGGGAGCAAGCATTTCTCCTCCCCTTTCACCTTCGTGCTCCCCGTCCTTCGCCCTTCACCCTCAGTAGACCAACGCCAACACCGACGCGGCATCATTCCCACCTGCATACGAAAAAAGGACAGAGAGAGCTGTAGTCGAGCCCCGCACACAAACGCAACGCACCTCAGACTTGCGATGGGCGTCTTGGCGCCGGTAATAGAATAGCGCTAGAAAATAACTTGAGCCACTGGCCCCGGCATCGGCGCCACGGCACACCTGCACCACGTTCAGGGTCTACGACGGCCTTTTTGCCCAGCTCGGATTCTTTGTCTGACACGACGGACTCGCAGACGGATCACGGGCCTAGGATGATAAAGAAAACTTGGGGCTTGCAGCATTACTAGCGGGAACTTCGGTCTGATACAGGACTGGAACATACACACACCTCCCCTACTTTCTCAATCATCGCCACCCGTGAATAGAATTTACCTCCAACAAATCGTGGAAGAGGACAAGAAACAAAAAAAAGAGGAAAAGGCCCAAGCATAACTCTGCCTCCCACATGACCCGTTCCTCCCCCCTAACACGGTCGATCTCGTCTGTCCGTGTCGGCTTGTAGCACTTAATCCAAAACGCGGCCTGCAGTAGCGGCACCGCTTTTGTCACGAGTCTGTGTCTTCTTCAGAGCCTTACCCATCTGAATCTCGCTGAGCAAGCCTGACGGCCGGCCCCCTGGCGGCGGGCCTGAAGGTGCGTCACCCGCCGGTGGCGGGGGAGGCGGTGGTGGCGGAGCGCCCATGCCCGGAGGCAGGGGCGGGGGCGGAGGGGGGCCACCTGGGGCGGATGATGCCGGCATGGGCGGTGGGGGAGGTGCTGATGGCGCCTCAGGTGCAGGGCCGGGAGGCGGCGGGGGAGCGCCGGTCCCTGGCATAGGTGGAGGAGGAGGAGGGGACGAGGGTGAGGCGTCACTGCCGATGCGCGGGCTGACGGGGTTGGAAGATGGTTTGTCTCCCGTAGCAGACAACGGCCGGGGCGGTCCCATGGTGCCGAACAAGATGGAAGCCAGAGCCGCTGCACTACTGCCTCCAGGCCGGTCATCGTCATCGGAGTCATCCTCGTCATCCTCCTTATCTGTGCCCCAATCATCATCCTCATCAGGACGCTTGCGAGAGAACGGACCGGAAGGCACCGGAGGCGTGGCAGCCGCGGGCGCGGCCTTGCTCTCTTGGGCCATGCGATGGAAGGGGTTGGTCGACTGCGCAGCTGCCGGTGCTGGAGCTGCGGCAGGCGCGGATGGCTCACTTGGACCCGAGGTAGACTCGGACGAGTGAGAGATCATGCGATGGTACGGGTTGCGGCTCTCGCTTTCGGTAGGGGGGCTAGTAATCACCGTCGGGACTGCAGGCGGCGATGAGGGCTGCTTCTCCAGCTCCTGGCTGCTGATCTGGCTGCCGCCCTGCGTAGGGGTCGACGCCTGAGGGGTGATCTGAGCAACGCCGTCCTCGTCATCTGACGAGCTGTCATCGTCGTTCATGGCCTCGAGCTGGCGCTGGAGCTCCAGCTCGCGCTGACGGGCAGCCTCGATCTCGGCTCTCTGGGCTGCAAGCTTAGCCTCCTTCTCCTTTTGCTCGGCAAGGGCTGCCTTCTTCTTGCGCTTCTCTTCTTCCTTCTTGAGCTTGCCTGCCTTGACTTGCTCCTCAAGCGCCTTGAGCCGAGCCTCTGCAGCATGTCGCTCGTTCTCCAGGTCATCTTGCTGCTCTCTGGCTTTGGCCCTGAACAATCATCAGTATATGGCTGTGAACGGCATGCGCGTAAAAACTTACTCCAACTCCTGGGTGGCACGCTGCTGCTCGTCATGCTCTCTAGAAAGACGCTCCTCCTCTGCTTGCTTAGCAGCTTGTTCCTCCTCAGCCTTCCGAGCAGTCTCTCTCTCAGAGGCGTCGCTCTTGGCAGCCTTCCTCGACGGCGGCGGAGGAGGTTTCTTCGCAGCCGGTGCCGGTGCACCCGATTCTTCCGCGAGACGAGCCTGCCGCTCAGCCTCGCGTCGCTCATCCTCCTCCTCGGCCTGGCGCAGCTTAGCAGCCCGTTCGGCCCTTTCACGCTCCATTCTTTGAGCAGCCGTCTCACCAGGCTTAGTGGGAGCCTTGATGCCCAAGGCGGCGAGTCTCTCGGCCATGCGCTGCTCAGCCTGCTGTTTGATAAAGGCAGCGCGCTCCTCAGGGGTTTTGTACGACGAGTACGAGCCGCCAGGAGTACTAGTGCGCGACGGAGGAGCAGGGCTCTCATTACGAGCGGCCGACGCAGCTGGGGCGGGCGATGCGCGAGCAGCTGCAGCAGGTGATCGGGACGAAGACGACGTAGGACGTCGGTCCTGAGCCCGAACACGCGCGGCGCGGCTGGAACGCTGGAGATCGAAGATGAAATCTCTGACTTCATCCTCGACGCCGAGAGCGTCTTCCCAGCGGCGCTTCTCGTGCTCATTGGTAGCGCTCGTGGTGCCTTCTTTCAGACTATCTTCAATACCCCGAGCGAAATCACGCACAGAATCTTCGACATCCTTGACCATGCTCTCGTTGTTCTCCTTCTCGGTCTTGACTCGAAGATTCTCTTCCTCCAGGCGCTTGGGAGCCTCGTCGTCAATGGCGGATTCAACCTTCTTGCCAGTCAGAGCCGCCGTGCGCTGTTGCATCATAGCCTTGGCCCTGGCCTTGAGCCTGTCAGACTCAGTAACAGCACCGCCGGGCCCGGTCCCAACGATAGCAGCGGCACTATTGGGGTGAGCCTTTGCGTCCTTGAGTCTAAAAAGCTCGAGTCTTGCATCTGCAATGGCCTTTTCGGTCTTGCGAACCGCGGAAGCCAGTTCAGGGACTTTGTCCGTAAGGGTCTGCAGCTGCCGCTTCAAGGCGCGTCTCTCGGCTTCCGAATCTCCCGTCGCCAGGGCAGCATCAGGATGCGCATCGATGTCGTCCTGAATACGGCGAATACGACGGTACAGCTCATCTGCCTCGCGACGGTCGCGTCTATCAAGCATATCATCCTCTTCGAGGCTCTTCTCATCAGCAAAATCCATGGCCTCAAGAAGCACTTCCTTCTCCCGAATTTTCTTCCTCAGCTGTTCAAGACCAAGGTCGTCGTAGGGGGTAGAAGCAGGCGACTCGGGTCGAGGCGAGTTGTTGCCTACACGGCGGCGAGCGCTGGACCTGTAGCCCACCTGTTCGTCGTTGTTCTTAAAGACCGTGGCATCCTTACGTCCACTGCTGTAGCCACCAGGGGTGCCCCTCAAGGAATGTGTCTTCATGTAGCTGACTCCGGTCTTTTGGGGAAGCAGGGCGGCGCCAGACTTGTTACGGAACTCCGACTCCTGACTCAACATCGACCTAATGGTGCCAATGGATTCATTGATGTTTCTTGTCGAAGGGGGGACGAGCTCGGGCGGCAGCTGGTTGGGAAGGGGGTAGCCGTTGAGCTTTCTGTAAATCAGATGCATAGCGACAGCAAACTCGTCAAGGTTCAGACGGCCCTTGTTGCCATTGTCTGCAAGCGTCCAGACGCGCTCGAGGTCGGGCTTTTCGAGACCGCTCTGCCCGAATATTTCAATGGCAACATCTCCACCAATGAAGCCCTTGTGAAGGCCGTCCCAAGCCTTGAAAAGTGCATCATAGCGCTGCTTCTCGTCTTTGGTAATTGCCCACGGGATGACAGCATTGCCCTGCAAGCCCTGTGTAGTGAAATTTTGCTGCTCACGGCCTTGCTGCGGCATCATTCTAGCCTGCAGAGCATCGATGTTGGGAAGACCGGTCGCGGGCGTGTTCACGAGACCCCACTGGCCAGGCCGGCCCGTGGGTTGCGCGTTCAGGGGCGCAGCCATCGGCCCTCCTCCTGGCGTAAGGCTATTGCCATACCCGGTGGGCATCGGAGGCATGGGGGGTCGCGGTCCTGTGTATCCCGTAGGCTGCGGGTTCATCCCCGTCGGTTGCGAGTTTATGCCGGGGAAACCTGTCTGCTGAGGTTGTAGACCTTGAGGTTGACCAAAGCCTTGCTGCTGCTGCTGCTGACCAGGAAAGCCGGTCATTTGTGCTTGCAGTAACTGGGAGTTTGATGCCTGGGGCTGGGGTTGGTGAATCTTAGGTTCGGTGCTCGATCCGCCGGTGGCATTACTGCCGGGGGTAGTTCGGCCAGCATCCTCGGTGATGCTGAAGTTGATGATGTCCACCACACTGGAAACCTCGTTCTTGATGTTTTCAGGCAGATTCGAGGGCAGAGCCTTTCCGGTGAGCTTCAGGTTGCAAAGGTACATTGCGAGAGCAAATTCGGGGAAGTGTAATTCTCCAGATCGGGTCGTGTCGGACAAAGTCCTGTACGTCATCAGTGAGTACTGGCTTTCGCAACTCAATGGACTAGGTAGAACTTACCAAATGTGCGAAAGAGAGTCACCGTCGAGACGCGACCGCATCAGCAGGTCTCTTGCCTTGTCTCCGGACATGGTGGCCCCCGGGCCATCACCCACTGCAGACTTGAACAGCGTCTCGAACTTGGACTGGTCTGGAGCAGTGATGAAGGACAGCCGGATGTTGGGAATCTTGTTGGCAGACTTTGGGCGTCTGCCGGCTGGCTTTGGTGTCCCACCAGTCCGAAAAGAAGCAGCCATCTGGCTGAAGCCCGTAGGCTGAGGCTTGATGGGTGCAGCCGCCGGAGTGGGCGTCTGCTGGGGCTGCTGGAAGCCAGTCGGTTGGGGCTGCTGAAAACCAGTTGGCTGGGGCTGCTGGAAACCAGTTGGCTGAGACTGTTGGAAGCCGGTCTGTGAAGGTTGCTGCTGTTGCTGCTGAGCCGGGAACCCAGTCTGCTGAGGTTGCAGCTGCTGCTGGAACTGCGACTGGAACTGCGGGGGGATCGAGGGCATCGGGGGGGCACCGGTCTGGAAGCTCTGCTGAGGCTGAGCCTGGCCAGGGTATCCGGTAAACTGAGGTTGAAGCTGTTGAGAAGATTGCTGCTGCGGCTGCTGCTGTGGCTGCTGCATCCCCGGGTAGCCAGTGAACTGCTGTTGCAATGGCGCCTGACCAAAACCCGTGGGCTGGGGAGCAAACGGGCTCGGCTGTTGCTGCTGCTGCTGCTGCTGCTGCTGCCCCGGCTGCTGTCCTCCCATACCGAAAGAGCTGCCATATTGCTGAGCGCCGGGCCGCTGGCTATTGCCACCCAGGAAGGCGTTCGAGTTCGAATACATGGTGGGCAGGTTGGGCGCACAAAGGAGATCGGGCTCGAAGGCTCCTGATGACGATTAGGTGACGGAGATAGGAGGGATTGAGTCGAAGACGGACGTCACGAGCGGAGAGTCTCCGTCGATCAAGATGGCCAAAGGCTTTCCGACTTGGTTAAGAGTTGGAGAATTGTTTGTGGAGAAGAGAATAGTATAAATGTCGTGCCGGAGTGATGGCAACGCTGATGACGAAGCGCTTCACGAGTGCCCAGCTTGACACGGAGGTTTCAGTAGGAAGGTGCGGCAGCGGCTTGGACGGGGTTGCCCAGTTGGAACCTGGCAGCAAACTGAACAGGGGTCCGCTGGCCCTCCCAGTGTGTGGCTTGATTGCGGTGGGTCCTCATTGCAGAACATTACGTGACGCTCGCTGCATGGACCGGAACCGCGTATGTGCATCAGGTCATGCATATGTCCTTAGCGGAGCACCTGTCCTAGGGTACCATGTACACTGTAAGCACGCTGCACTAGGTAGGTATGGCTGTTAAAGTTTTGCAACTCACGACAGCGCCGTTTCGCTCAGGCTTCGCCTGAGCTGGAGGTTGTAGCGCACTTGACCACCAACCCTCCTTCGTCCCTCAATGGCTTACTTGACAGTCTGGTTTCTGATACTGTTGCCCTCTTCTCAGTCTGTCTTTGATTAGATGCAACATCTTCATGATCTGGTTGACGTTCTCATCAATCCAACAATCCGATCTGGGCCAAACCGACCAAGTAATACCAGCCTCCTCGCACTGCCAGTTTCTTAGGTACTTGCTTTACCTAGCCACGCTCGGTTCTCATTCAGCGCATCGGGGCTCTGCAGGCAGGCGACTCTGACTGCGGCATCTGAGCATAATACTTCTCTACTCACTCAACAATCGCCTCGGATCCAGGATAGCATACCCGCTGCCCCATGTTATATTCTCACTTTTGTGTCGCATCTGCAGCTTGAGAGTTTGGACACGTCGGCTCAGCCGACAGGGAGACAACGGCGAGTGTCCAGTGCATCAGCAATCCGCCTACAAGTACGCAGCAAATGTGCAGGGATCTCTGGACAGCCGTGGTTTGTTAAGGACTGAACCATCCCAGTCCTCTACTTCTACAGTCGTGTACATCTGAATCTGATACATCTGAATTGACCGAATATCCGGCCCCTCGAGCCGGCAATTAGCCAACCACACCCGGCTCCGTTGTGGAGCGGGCATCGGGATGCCATGCGTGCACCCTGAGTCCGGGGATGACGGCGTGGCAGTATCTGTACCCCAAATCCAGACCGAGGACCACAATCCCGTTGATGTCCCAAGGCTCTGTGCTGGACCGCATCTGAGTGACTAATAGTTCTTGTGTTACCTACATATCGAACGAACGCAGCAGCCGCCATCGTCACCCATATTCGCAAACCCAACAACGCACAAACATTCATTTCACACCCCCTTGTCGTGAACCAGATGACTCGAGTCGCCAAGCTTAACTACATACCACTCTCGGTCGGGTATCGCTGCAGTTCTCTTGCGGCCACTTGGATAGATGAACCATTGCGCCTGAGATTGAGTATACTTTGCCCCAAAACTAGAAAGTAGGACACTCAATCTAGAATAGGACTTGGGTGACATAATATTCGACACATCAATCGGCTAAGAGTCGAAATGAGTTTCTTCCCCTTTCAAGAAACTCCTGGTTCTTAAGACGTAACTTTTCCTTTCTCCCTTTTTTCCACACAGGTTTGATAGAGCTTAGTCCAACCGGTTGAAGGCCCCAGTAGCCTTCCAATCAGTCCACACGAAGTGGAGTATTATTTCATTGTGATAGTCAAGAAATTAAATCCAATGCGCAGTCAGTAGACTCTTGGGTAGTGACATGATAGATATGTCGCCGTCCAGCAGCATTTTGTTCAGAGTACGGAGTATAATCTCACAAATTATATATTATAAGTAAGAGACCCTAGCCTATCTTGGAAACAAGCAAAGCCACATCAAGACAATATTCCTACATCGAGAAGATCCGGGACAACGCTAAGCGAAACCTTTCAACGCCAAACACAAAACTGTGTAGTCAGAGCCCACGCACAAGAGGGGGAGGAAACCAGTCGACAGTAATGAAGCTCTCCTGCGACTCTGGGTATCAATCCCGCGCGGGTATCCTTAGCACACGTTTACCCCCATTTTTGAGAACGCCTGGTTCAATACCGGAAAAAATACAAAATAGAGTATGTTGCCGTTGCTGATGTCTATTGTTCGGTTGTTGGGGGTTATGATATTGGGGACGTATTCAATCCTTTCTCATGTTCTTTTTTTTCCCCCTCTTCTTTCGTTCCTCTTTCTTTCATGCCCAAGGACTGCTTTTTTCTTCGAGGGTTTGAATTTTTCTTTCTTTTTTCTTGATTGGTGATTTATCGTAGTGTCGTGGTTGACACGGTGGTCCCTGCTTTCCTGTCGACGTCTTTAGACTGGGCCTGCGTCGCTTCATCGAGAGCAAATCCGTGTTGTATCATATGTTTCAGGAGAGAAAGGTCGAAGTCATCGGCGTTTTCATCCAAAATGCGTGGGGCATCGCAAGATTGGGGTGCGCTCGATGCTATGGCATATTCCTTGATGGAACTTTCTGCTGGTGCCCATTCGGGGGGGGTCGGAAGGCCAGAAGAACCACTAGCGCCTTCTGTCGCGGGGCTTTCAATGACTTCCTCCCGTGTGACGTGATGCGGAGCCGCATGGGCACCAAACTCCTGCGTGGGCTCAAGAGGAGGGGTGTTGGCGCCAAAGTACACGCTTCCACGGTAACCGGGTTGCATGATCTTGCGCCGAGTCTTCATGGCCTTGACCGCGAGCCCACCGAAGACGTTGCCGAGCTCCAGAGTGATCCAGTCCTCCTGGCTCTCTTCCTGAGGATCCCATTGCATGCGAGCCATCTCCTTCTCGAGGGACAACGTTCGGTTCCTCTCAAGGATGCGATCAATCTGGGCTGTCTTGACACTCCATTCATCCTTAAGGTTTTGCATGAGAGTATTGTTCTTATCCATTTCCATTGCGAAGTTCTCGAAAGCAGCCTTGGAAAGGACCTTGGATGCTCGGCGAGCTCGTGCAGAGGAGGGCTGACCAGTGGGCATTCCCACATTTTGGACGCTAGACTTGACAGCTGCATTGAGCTCGGAGCGCGAGAAGGGGCAGAACTCCTGGATAGAGCTGTTCTGGTCGAGAGCTTTCGCCATGTGCGACAGGTTCGACAGGTTAAAGTTGTTCTCCTGCACATCCAAAGTTGTTAGAGTCTGGTTAAGGTGGATGGCGTGCGCCAGGTCGCCAATGTTCAGATTGAGCTTTTGATTGCGGATTCGCAGGTGGCGCAGTCCTGTGTTCTCGGCAAGTCCAGACAGAGAGCGCGAGAATCCCAAACCCAGTTGACCCTCGTCGAGCTTGGCAGAAAATCCAGAGAAGTCAAGATACTGAACCGACTGGTTCGTAGCAAAAAAGTTCGACACAGCCATGCATGCCTCTTCGCTGACCTGCCCAGGAGTCGACGTTCCCACCAGACTAAGGAGCCGGATGGTCCGGTTGAGGGAGAGTGCCTTGATAATCCTAATGTAGTTCTTCTCGTTCTGGAACTCGATCATGTCCATGAACAACGATGTTGGCCCGAAGTTGCACGCGATCGCATTCGCCAATGCTTCCGTGCCAGTCTCGAGGTAATTGCCGCTGATGGAGCACGTCATCACTCTACCCTGGCCCATACTGTTGAACAACTCAGCAATCTGGGTACCGGTCATCCCGCAGTTGTTGAGATCCAGCCTACGCAGATAGTTGGCCTCGGGGCGCTGCAGATAGTTGCCCAAAACTTGTAACGTGGCATCGTTCAGCTGCGGGAAGTTAGCGGATGAAAGTGTGCAGGTCTCGAAGCATTTACGTTGATGTTCGAAAGATCGAGTTCCTCTAGGCCCCACCGCATGATAGTTTCATCAAAGAAGATGGGGTCTCTGAACTGGCTGAGACAGTTGCCGGCGATACCGAGCTTTCGAAGACAGAACAAGTGGGAAAGGTTGCTCTTGACAACCATGTGATCTACATGGCCGATATTGCGGGAGGTATTTAATGCTTCCATCTTGTATCCTTGGGATGGCAGGGCGTCCCATATCTCTTCCAAACTTTTCTCATCGAGATTACATCTCGAAATGTCCAGCTCTTTCAGAAGATCGGGAATTTGCAATACGTCCACTGCATCTCGTCAGCCAAATGTACGCAAGAGATCGTTGTTAAGCCTACTCACCCAGATCATCAACCTCAGCTGCGGTCAACGGGTTTCCACCGACAAGTAGAGTGTCGCAGGGGATGCTGCCAGTCTTGAGGAGTAGGAGGATTGGCCTAACAACCTCGGGTTCCGTTTTAGAACCGGCTCGAGTGCGCGAGACGCCCACAATGTTCCGCGACGCCAACACGTTGGTCAAGTCGATCTTTCTGACCGACCCGGAGGTGAAGGCAACAGCGTGAATCTCTTGGGACAGTAACGGCGCAGACTTGAGGATGTCGCGGTGCGCGCCGTCGATCACGAGTCCTGTCAGCGATTAGACAAATTTGCGTCTTGGCCCAATCGGAGAACCCAACCTACCGTCTCTGTTGACATCTGCCACAGACTCATCCCAACCCGGGACGTCGGTTAATCCACATAGGGGAGAGAAGTCGACATCACGGAAAGACAAAGCCTTGAAGTAGTCGTTGAATCGGAGGGCCTTGAAGACCGCCAAAAGTTGGAGAGCCGAGTATCCACCTGTTTCCTTCGCAGGGAGAAGTCGGAACTCAGGACAGTGTTCCCTACGCTCGCACTTCCAGTTTACCGTCCATTCGGGAGCTTTGCATTTGAAGGTGGCACAGTAGGCTTCGAGGGTTCGCTTGAGGCCACCGTAATCCTGACCCGAGGGAAGCAGAAGCTGAGCAGTCAGGCCTCGGATGTCGAAGATGTCCCTTTGCATATGCTGGGGCCATGCCGGCCTTACTGCGCGGTCTGCCTTCATGAACGTCATGACGATTTCTCTGTACCAGCGGCTAGCGAGCTCAAGGCGTTTTTCGTTTTCGCAAGGTAGTCTTCACTGCATGTTAGCCACTGTAGTCGTTGCTTTCGCAAGCAGATATCGACACATACCGGAACCCGAGAACAAACCGCTCCTCGTGGGGGACCATAGTAGCCTTCAACCGTACCAGCGACGTCAGGCCAAAAGCCACAGTGTTGATATCGATATCTTGGGGCGCCTTGTACACCGAGGTCCTAGCAACCCGAATAAGATAGCACTTGTTCTGGCCGAGAAGCAAGTAATAGGATGAGCCGTCACGAGACTTTTTTGCGTTTTCCGTGTTCTCGGCTTTGGAACTCAGAAGAGTGGTCCGGTGAACGACCGGGAAGATGTCCAGCGGGCATCCACGGCACGGTGGCTCTTCGGTCGCGACGATGGCGTAGATAGCTGCCTCAACATTGGACGCAATGAGACCTTTTGGCACGGTGGAAGAACCGACAGATTCACGAATAGCATGACGAACTCCCGACATCCAATCGTCTCGTTCTGCGGGCATTTCAAAAAAAAGTTTTGTGCATGCCCATGATACCAATGGAGAAGTCTCGGACCACCATACATCCAGTCCAAAGTGCGGGCTTACACCCTCTTCGTTGAAAATGTTGACGATTCTGCACAGAGGGATCTCAACCCGGCCGTCTGAATGGGTTCCATCTTGACTCAACGTCGACGAAGTTGACGACCTTTTTAAGCGTGCCGTCGGAGGAGCCAATTCGGTGAAATTCGATCTCGCTGCTTCGACGCTGCTAAATTTGATCAGATGTCCATCAGTCAAGACGACATACTCTGCGCGGGACTTCCACAAGCGACTGTCGGTCTTCAACGGTCCATGCTTGAGGATCCTGACAGGGTTTGAGGGCGGCTGGGGGCTGAGATAGTTTGGAGCCTCCTCGGACATGTGGGAGCTCGCGGACGAGTCCTTGGAAGCTCGTCGGTTGATACGGTAGAATATCGAGGACGAGTTCGAGCCACCGGATCCGTTGTTCTTGTGAAGGACGCGTTTTGACTTCATATGGAGGCCACCGGATGCCTCCTCGGACATGGATGCGAGGTCGGTAGAGGATGTGCTGCCGCTGACCTTCCTGAAGGTCTTGGCTAGAAAACTGCGCCTCTTGCCCCCCAGCGACGGTGTTGAGGCGCTCCGAAGCTCTGCGGCGGTCCTGTCGGTAGTAGTTGTGTCTCCATGGTGCGTCGTCTGAATGGTGGGCAGCATTGACTGTCGGTTCGCGGCGTTCATGGTTGACAGATTTGACGTGCAGTAATCGGGGGTCCAAGCCCAGCCTATTCCGCCGTCGTTGTGACAGAGTACCCCCGCCTACTCGGGCCCACGAGGCCGTCAAGGTCGAGAATGCGAATTATTGGGCCATGCAACGCTTACGAACGAACAGGCAGGTCGTCGAGATCGATCGGGAGCTGGTGACGGAAGCGCAGTTTACACTCGAGAGGAAGGGGATCGGTGAAAGGGAAGAGGGCGATGTCTCCGTCAACAAGACGACGAAGTAAAGGGTCGAGATAAGGAACGTGCAAAAGAGAAAGAAAAAGAAAAGGAAAAATAGGAAAGGGTGTCAGGAGGGGGCAAGAAGCGCAAGTATACAAAACAAGACGGATGACGGAGGGGTCTCTCTCTTTCTCTCCCTCTCTTTCTGTGCCTATCTCCGTCTATCTCGTTGGATCGAGCGAGATAGAACAGGGTAGGTATCTGGGAAGCAGGGAACAGCTGTTCGGAGGGAAGGGTGGGAGATGCAGCGGACGTGCGGTGACAGCTGGGTACACCTTGCTTGGAAGGGAAAGGAAGACCTGGAGCGAGTCGGGTGGATGGCAGTAGCAACGGACGACGAGGGGTGCAATTCGGATGACTGAGTGGGTGGATGCGGATGGATGTCGGAACAGAAGCGCAAGAGACCTGATCCTGGCTGATGGGAGAGACAAGGCGGGTGGCGAGTCGGGCAACGGTACTCAGCACCGAAGGCGTGCGTGCGTATCGGTAGGTAGGTACAGGATAATAGAGTGAGTTGAATGAAGTCGAATCAGGAATCGTCAGGCTTAAGGTACATAGGAGAGATGAGGGGTGCACGTGTGTATTGCGTGTGCTATAGTACAAGGGGTGATGCAGGACCAGCCGGAGGTTGAAGGCGAGTGTAAGGCAAGTAGGTAAGCAAGTACTAATAGAACAGAAGCCACGAAGGTGGTCAGGTAGGTAGAGGTAGGTAGGTAGGTAGGTATGGTGGTTTGGGAATTGGGAGTTAGAGAAAGGGATGGATGAAGAGGAAAAGGCGACGATGTGTGTGGGTGTTTGCGTTCGCAGCGACACACAGCAGAGAAAAAGGGATTGGGAATCCGGTGCCGTTGCTGCGGACAGAGACGGCGGTAGGTAGGTACTTCGTAGGTAGCCCGGGCTTGATGCAGCTATGATGTTATCGAAGCATATCCTGTTTCTGGCCTGCGTCGCCCAATGAAACAATGCGCGGGGTTTCTGGTGCTGGCGTCCTCTTACATTAGGCAAGGTCCATGCCTATAGGCTATAGTTAATCTCTCCTCTTTTTGCTTCTCCTGAATACCTGTTGAAAGAGACAACGGATGCTCCTGGTGGCCGGTAACCGTGGTACGTCACCAATGGGAGGCGTTTCTCGGGGCGGGAAGCCATGGGGCTTACAGTGGGTAATCTTTACCTGGATGTGTGCGGCCCTTTTCCATGTCATGCCATGCCATGCCATGCCAGTCGAATCTACGGATACTACCTATGTACGTTTGTACAGTGCCCACCCAAGGTGCCTTAGGTACCTGTGTACAGATAGTAACTACCTACCTACATACTTTGCCTAGGTAGGTACCTACCGGTGGAGAGAGATGCGCGCCTGTACGTGCTCTGCATCCATCCTATGGTTTCCGTCCGGTTCTACCGTCCTGACAGCTGAACCGGCACACCCAGCTGCTGTTGGTCTGGTCAGATATGACTGCCGACTCATCTCATCACGCGCTCGAGAAGAACTGGATTTTCGATAGGCTGCTGCCGGCATCAGCGTCCACCAACATCCATCGAAACATAGTGTACACAATAGTGTAAACCACCACGCAAGTCCGCTCTTATCTATCCCCCGTTATGCGCGTTTCTGCGTGGACCATGGCGCCGTGGGTCCGTGACTTGCTTGCAGCTTGCTTGCCAAGGGAATGGGCCACATCTCATGCTACCTGCACCTTGTCGGTGTCACTAGTGTAGTGTAGACTGACAAGGCCATCGGAAGCCGTGCGTGCATCTTGGTCTCTCATGCATGCATATCCACGGATATTCCACCCCAAGAATCGTGGTGGGATGCTTGGCGCCTTCATCCACTCCTTGGCTGCCTTGTTTGCTGTGCCTCGAAACGATGGATACATGCCACCGCGATGCTACGACGACATCCGGCATATATAGCGCGGGTTCCCCCTCCCCAACACCGTCGAATTCCACCAAAGCTTCGCATCCACAGCCGTGGGTTGTTGTTGTTGTCACTACGGATACTACGCTGCCCACATGACGACTGGCAGGCTGGCAGACGCAGCAGTGGATGGTGCAACTCGAGCACGTCAACATCTAAAAGTAGGGCGAACTGTATCCGTATCCGTAGTACGAAGTGTCATGTCCCTGCTCATCCGAGGAATTAGTGACCCCCTCTGGAGCCATGGGTTTGCGGCTCATAGCGTGATGTGCCATCCGGGTGTACTCATGAACATGCGGTACACTAGATTTCTCTGGTCGCAGATGAATCCCTCCCGCCACCACTTGGTTCTTGGGCTATGTAGGCCAGCAAAGACGACGCAGACAAATTCCCATCGTGCCATCCTTCTTAGTGGTTCCGTTGGCGTCTTCTAGTCTCAGACCTGCGCCTTCAGGCCTCAGACCTGTTCATCCGCATCGCCGCCAAGCCATGCATGTATGTCGCTCTTGGCCCACCCAGTCCGCCCAGGACTCTTCTAGTAGGGTTCTCTGCTCGTGATCACCGATTGCTTTGCCTGGATAGTCCGCGATTTGACTCCTCCATCTCCATATTTCCCTCAACCTTCTCTAACTTTCCACCCCATCGAGGCTCCTGGCCGTGCAGACGCGCTAGGGCCGGCCAGTCCGAAAGTAAGGGTCGTTTCATACCACACTCAATATTCGAGTAAGAGGGGGCGCCCTGGCGACCTGAAATATGTCAAAATTGCTTCAAATCCCCCCCCCCCCCCCCTTTACCTGCCTCGCTCCCGGTTGCCGCATCTTCCGAACACAAAGTTGTTCTGCACAATTCTTTACAGCCGTTGCGGCGCTCTCGGATTCCACTCTTTTTCTCGTGTCTATGAATAGGTGATAACCTCTCCCCTCAAAAGAGACTCGAGGTGAATTAGCAAAGGGCTTCACCAAGCTCGAGTGCCCTGGTCCGGACCTTGTCATGCCAGCCAGCCCCGTTTTATACGGATACGAGGAGGATTAGTGGTCTTGGGACCCTTCTTTTGTTCACGGCTGTGTTGTGCCTCGCCAGGCGCTTCCACCAAGCCAGCTTTCGCGCTTGCGTTCATAAGCACAAGGAATAAAGACTCGAGCATTATGCCGCCTGCCGCTTTGCCGAGGAAGGGCACAAGGGACAGGTGCGTCGGCCCAACGACCGAATGACCACCGTCTCTGGAATCCAACATATTTGTGGTACGAAGGACGAGGGGGTGACCGTGAGCAGCAACGCCTAATGCCATCGTACCAGGCGGCCGGTTTCGAGTACAGTTGGAATCCCGGACAGATGCCGCTGAACCACAACTACTACTAGCCCTCGTGCGTGAAGATATCCACAAACACCTTACATTTCCCAGTTCCAAGGAATGGAGTGCCCGGCGGCAACGCGGTCGCCCGACAACCTGGCCGCCTCTGCACACTTCCACCAACAAGAACATAAGAAAGCAGCTCGCCCCAGCCAATTTGGATATTTTGGGGTGCCTCCTTTCAAGGAAGGGAAGCTGTAGGGGCTTGCGGTGGGCTGCGGAGAGGAGCAACCTGTCGAGATTGGGACCTGTCTCTGATCGTCGTCAGCGCAGGGGAGTAACCCTTCGGCAACCCCTGTCAGGCTTGTTCGCCGTGCTATTTTTCGGTCTGCAAATTTGCGAAAGGGGGCCTTTTACTACGTAGGAAAACATAGGTAAGCCACTGCCGCACGCTTGGTGCGCCACTTGGAGGAGTCAATCCCCATTATCTCACCATCAACTCGTAATCCACTTCCCACCGAACGATTTCGTGTGTCTAGTGTTTCTGGAAAGGGAACATAATTATGCATATACGCCTGTCGCTTTTCATCAGCCGCGGCTCCGAAGAAGGCGGCGACATGCTCCCTTCCCAGCTGCTGTGCTGATGGGCCACAAGCTCTGTCCAGTCCCTCGCGAGTAGGTACCACTCGGTCACGATACCGCGTAACGGAGGCACCATGGCACGTTCTCTTCTGCAATCAGTCAAGGCACGGACCTCCCGTATCAAGCCCGACGGTGTGTGTGTGTGTGTGTGTGTGTCTGAAGCGGCGTAGTGCTAAAGGCGGCCGGCACCGCTTGACAGCCGGGCCGGTCTTGCTCAGCCACCGCTATCAGTCAAGTTGTGACTGACCCAGGTACCTACCTCCGTAGCTAGGTATCTCACTTATTCAACGCAACCTCGTACGACGCCACGGGGAGCGCAAAGTATCGGCAAAAGCGTGATGATGAGAGAAATGTGTAATTTGACCAAAGAGGCTTTTTCTCGCTTCTACATCCCGGGGGCCCATACAACAAGACTTACGCAGGATCTCCACCGACCCGCGCTGCATGTCTGCTCTAAGACAACATTTCAGATTCCTACCAACTTAGGCAGTTATGTAAAGTCGGGACACCGCCTCCTAATAGGGGCTCACTCAGTCTTTAGAGTCCTATTGCCAAGCTGCCAGCTGCCATGATGTCATTTCTCAATCGCCCCTGAATGTTCGATCCGCCCGACGATGGGATAACACTGTCGCGCTGGCAAGACGGCTAGCTTGAACTCCCAAGCTGATGGCATCATAGGCATGTGGCATGCACTTAGCAGGTAAATGGCCGCGCATTGGAAGTATCTACAGATGTGAGCTACCTCTCTCTATGTTCCAGGTACATTATCCAGTCGCGAGTACGGCAGCGCTAGCACATCATGTTTGGAAACCGGACGCGCCCCGCAGCTTACAACATGCTGATCTTTAGAACGATACGTACCCGCAGGGACCCCTAGGGCGGAAAGCCGGAGTTTGACAATAGGTACCGCGGCGTGGGACGGATACAGATCAGATACGTAGCTGGGGTCCATCATGATTCCACGAGTCATATGCACAGCCACCGATTGGCGCAGATAGTGAAGCAAAGCCACCACCCTCCCTCTCTGCCGATGCGATGCAGTTCCCCGCACCAACACGCCGACCCTCGCAATCGCAAAGTTGCACTGCAGCTTGACCGCTCGCCGTTCCGGGGGCTGGCAGAAATTCGGCAACTCAACAGAAAATCGGAGGGGCTTTCCCGCTTTTGCGATCTCATGATAATATCTCGCACCTCAAGCCTCCACTCTCACTCAACCCCAAATTGGCTGTGACAGCTTTGCTAGTAGCGGTCCTTTCAGTCAGTGCTCACGCTAGCTGACTGACTTGAAACCTACAACTCCCAAATTCCCCAGGCTTGGAACCTGATATAGCAAAGAGTCCAGTTACACGAGAAGAACCTCGAACGTCGTCGTCAAAATGGCCGACTCTCTCGCTTCCCGCAAGTACTTCGACAATGTTTACATCCCCGCCGGTTTGATCATCCTGGGATGCGCCATCACCAAGAGCGAATGGGTCCCTTACGCTGTTCTCCTGTCGCTTGCCCTAGCCGCCTACAAGTTCAACTCGATGCGTAAGTTTGGCAACCTCGGGATTCTCAGAATTAGACATTGACAAACCCCGCGCGCAGAAGTCAAGAAGGTTCTCAAGCCTGACGCCTTCCAGGAGTTTGAGCTCAAGGAGAAGACAATCATCTCGCACAACGTCGCCATGTAGGTTGTCTTCTGAACATCGAACTCAATATTGTAGCTAACGGCTTCCATAGCTACCGCTTCAAGCTCCCCTCCGAGAAGAGCGTCCTCGGCCTCCCTATCGGTCAGCACATCTCCATTGGTGCAAACTGCCCGCAGCCCGATGGCACCACCAAGGAGATCGTGCGCTCCTACACTCCCATTTCTGGTGACCACCAGCCTGGCTACTTTGACCTCTTGATCAAGTCGTACCCTACCGGCAACATCTCCAAGCATATGGCGTCGATGAAGGTTGGCCAAACGCTCAAGGTCAAGGGCCCCAAGGGTGCCTTCGTCTACACACCGAACATGGTCCGTCACTTTGGCATGATTGCTGGAGGCACTGGTATTACTCCCATGCTCCAGATCATTCGTGCTGTCATCCGGGGCCGCCCAACTGGTGACAGAACTGAGATCGACCTTATCTTCGCCAACGTTACGGTCCAGGACATCCTGCTGAAGGAGGACCTCGATGCACTTGCTAAGGAGGATAACGGTTTCCGTGTGCACTACGTCTTGGATAAGCCCCCTGCCGACTGGACTGGTGGTGTTGGATACGTCACCGCCGATATGATCACCGTGAGTCTTTTTGTAAGATCTCTCATTATATGCCGAGCTAACAAACATATAGAAGCTGCTTCCCAAGCCCGCCGACGATGTCAAGCTTCTTCTCTGCGGCCCCCCGCCCATGGTTAGCGGCCTGAAGAAAACCTCTGAGAGCCTCGGGTTCAAGAAGGCCCGCCCTGTGAGCAAACTCGAGGACCAAGTTTTTGCTTTCTAAGCAAAACATTTTAATCCAAAGAATACCTTTGCGCAAGGGAACGGCTACTTTTACGGTGGTGGGGAAAAAGGAATTGGAGCGGGTGTCCTGCAAAAGTCGAATGCTAGACTCATAGACAAACCTACCTGTGTTAAAGGAATGCCTCTAGCTACACGGAAGTTACTCCGTACTCTGCTTGTATTGAACGTGACCCACCTTACATAAGAATAAGACACTTGGACCACATCCCTGCGAGTTGACGTCGCAAGGTGAACCGGCCAATCCTTTCTGCAATCAAGCCTCTCACGATCGCCATTTATTTACATTCGCGACTCAACCCACCACAAGCTGCCCCGCTGTCAGCGCCATGTCAGACGGCTCCAAAGCTCCGAGGATAGCGATAAGCTTCGGAGGCTCTTCAAGCTCAAAAAACAATAAGAGACCCTCCCGCGCAGACCCACCATCATCATTGGGCAAGCGATCCCGAACGAATGCGCTCGGCACCACCTTCGACTCAGACTCAGACGGTGAGCGCGACGGCGGTCGTGGACGGCACGAAGCGATCACAGAGTTTGGCGGGGAATCCAAACAGAAAGAGAAGCCCCGCGAGCTGGTGATTGATAAGCAACGGAACCGCGACTGGAAATCGGAGTTGCGCGCGCGTAGAGGCGACAAGAACCTGCTGCCTGCTGAGGTGCAGGCGCAGCAACGGCAACAGGAGAATGCCGTGAGACAGCAATCTGAGAGAGAGCCCGCCGACGCGGACAAGGAAATACAATGGGGCTTGACCGTGAAGAAGCGCAAGACGAGCGAAGAGGCTACGGCAAACCCTGTCGAGGATATGACAACGGGACAGCCCAAGGAGGAGGAGGAGGAGGATCGTTCACAAGAAAAGCAGGTTCCGCGAAGCGCAGACGAGGAGGCCATGGACGCTCTGCTTGGGAAGAAGCGTCGCGAGGAGGAGGAAGTCGTCATCCATGCAACGGAGCAGGACGCCTATCTCTCCGACATCAAGCACGTGGGCGAGGACTCGACGCTTGCGGACTACGAGGCGATACCAGACGGCGAGTTCGGCGCCGCGCTGCTGCGCGGCATGGGCTGGGACGGCAAGCTGCGCGGACCGAAGAAAAAGCAGCCGACGGAGCGGCGGCAAAACCAGCTTGGTCTGGGGGCCAAAAAGCTGGAGGGCGCAGAGGACTTGGGACAGTGGAACTATGGCGGAAAGAAGAAGAGCAGCCGGCCGAGGCTGGACGAGTATCGGCGCGATGAGGAGAAGAAGCGGAGCGAACGTAAGGAGCGGAGGGGGGAGAGTTACCGAGACGAGAGGGACCGCGAGCGTGAGCGGGACAGGGATCGGGATAGACATGGTCATCGCGATAGGGACAGGGACAGAGATCGGGAATACTACAGCTCAAGGCATCGAGGTGGCGATTCGAGACGATGAAGACGTCAGGAAACTGGAGGGGTTCCACATTATAGACTGTATTGGATACCATGACTACCGGGCGTCAAGATGCGCCGCAATAGTATCGAGTTGTTGTTGCAGGTTGCATTTGGAAGCTTTCTCAACAGCCCGATGGGTATCGTCCGATGAAACCGTCTTCCTGGGCCAAACGTGGTGAAGAATGAGTTTGGTTATACCATAGTTGCATTGGTCTTGCTCTGGTCCAGACTACGGCACCCTTTGCCAACTAAGTGTCAATGAACAACTACTCGAGGTTGCCGATGGCCCAACCATTCCCTGGCTAACCCTGACAGCCCGATAGCCTGGCAAACGGTCTTCGTGGTGCATTATGGTACCTCGCGGCCATTAATCGGAAACCATCCAGGTTGAAACTTGGTGTGTTTGGTGTCCCTGAAGTGATTCCCAATTTCACCTGAGACAAGCCGGTCATGACGACCTTAATTTCCCTCATCTTCCGACACTGAGATGAAATTACGCCAAATAGGTCTGTGAGCATCAACATTTCGTGCTTGGTTATCACTAACATTGGCGGAGTGGAACTCTTATTGTACAGGGACAGTTGTGACACCTTTGATGGCGAAGGAGCTGGAAGTTGGGGATAACTTCCCTTCTCTGGCAGCTAAGAAATGGCAACCACAAGCCAGGCGGAGCAGGATCTTCAAGTGCTTTGCTGTTAAGCTGGCGACGCCCCTTCTCTTCCAGCTGATAACCTGCTTCTCCAGACTCTCATGAAGCAACCGCATAGTCCTTCAAACCGTCGACGGCCCCTTCCACTACGCAACTGCAGTCATTCCACCCCGAAGCTGCCCCGAAGACGTCCTTTCTCAATCCTGTTGGGTTTGAGCTGACAGCATTCTTTACCTCAGTGACAGCCATCATTGGAGACAATGGCTATGTATCAAATCTCTCGCCCCTCTATTCCACTTATTGACGGCCTCTCTGCATAAAGATACGTTTATCTCGCTATCGTGACCTTTGTCTACGTTGTTTCATTAAGCCTGTATTGCGGCTAAACTCACAGTCAGCTCCATACTTAAATTCCCATTCCAAGCCCGCTTATCAACAAGACCACCAGCATGTCTTCTTTGCAACAGAATCAGGGTCTAGACACCATCGCCTCCGACCCAGAGGCAAGAGCCGCTAGGGACTACGAGGAGCAACATTCCTACACGCAGACTATCAGCAAGTTCCGCCCTGCAATCAAGTGGTCCATTTGCTTCGCCATTACCATTGTTGGAGAGGGCTACGATCTCGCCCTCATGGGCAACTTCTTCTCCATGCCCCAATTCCAAAACCTCTTTGGCCACTCCCCAGGACGCGGCGCCGCCAAGGAAATCCCCGCCTTTTGGCAATCCATGATCCTCACCAGCAGCCAGCTTGGACAGCTCTCCGCGATGTATTTTGCCGGCTTGTCCGTGGACAGATTCGGCTACCGTAGAACCATGATGTTCTCCCTCGGGTCCGTCATAGTGTTTCTCTTTGTCAACTTCTATGCAACGGCGGCATTGGCCACGAGAGACTACAGGGCAGGCCTCGGAATGATTGTCGGCGGTAGCTTTCTCTTGGGTATACCGTAGGGAACCTTCCAAGCCTGTGTTCTCGCCTACGCATCAGACATCTCCCCCCTGAAGCTCCGTCCGGCCCTCATGACGTTCGTTTCCATGTGCTGGACCTTTGGCCAGCTCCTCTCAACGGCAGCAATCAAGAGCGTAACAACGATCAAAGACAACGACATCTTAGCATACCGCATAGCCGTCGCTTTCCAGTGGGTATGGCCTCTTCCGATACTCATTTGCGTCTTCTTCGCACCCGAATCGCCTTGGTGGCTGATGCGACAATCCCGCCCCGATCTTGCGCGCAGTTCACTCGCCAGGCTCAACCCAGACCCGGCATACCCCGTCGATGGCCAAGTCAAGGTTCTTGAGCTCACCGACAAGCAAGAGAAATGCGATCAGAATGACTTCGAGACCACGTATCTGGACTGCTTCCGTGGCGTCAACCTTCGTCGTACCATGATCGTCGTGACGACGAATATAACACAACAACTCTGCGGGTCTTCGCTCATGTTCTATTCGGCTAAGCTGTACCAAAAGGCCGGCATGAGCAGCTCCAAGTCGTACGACTTCACGCTAATCCAGTGCGCAATCGGCATTATTTGCGTTGTCACCTCGTGGCCCTTGATGAAGTACATCGGGCGCAGGACGATCTGGCTTTGGGGCCTTGGGGGCGCAGTTATTCTCATGGCCGGCGTTGGTGTTCTGGGGTGTTTCCACGACGCACACGTGGCCATCACATGGGCCATTGCGATTTTGCTCGTTGTCTTTACTGGGGTTTACAACCTCTCGATTGGCCCACTTACACATGCCATCAACCCCGAGATATCCTCGACGCGCCAGAAGGCCAAGACGCTTGTCATTGGCCGTGTAGCATCCCTTGTCGCTGGTCAGTTCAATATGTGGCTATTGCCGATTATGCTGGAGGATGCTCCCAATGGGTGGGGTCTTGGATCTCGTACGGCGATGGTATACTCTGGTATCAATGTCATCTTCTGGGTTTGGGCGTACCTTTTCCTCCCAGAGATCTGCGGCAGGCCGCAGGCGGCCATCGATGAGCTGTTCAAAAGGAGGATTTCCGCGCGCAAGTTTTCCCAGGTAGAGGTGGAGACTTTGTGATGCAGAATGTTTGGTTTCAAACAGATGTTAGTATAGAGCCACTTGGAGAGGAACCTTCTTGTGGAGGGTTTCAAACGCTTCATTATATGGAGTACGAAGTCAAAAGCATGAATCAACCATTCGAACTGGATGGGTCCTTATTCATTTATCTTTGAATGGTGGTGAAAGATGTAGCAGCGAACATCCACTGCCTAATATCCCCTGGTGACATGCAGGTTCCGATTTCAGTCCTTTGAGTGGCCAGCCCAGCGGGTGCCGACCACAAAGGTGCCAGATCCTTGGCCCCCTGAATTCTATCCGCCTACCCCACCAAAGCTGGCCGGAACTGGCACTCCCAAAATTGAGCTCCTTTAGCCCAGATAATAAACCACATCATCTCTCCTGCAAGCTCTGATCTGCAATAACGAACGACACCACACCGAAATAGGGGCTTGAATAGTCTCCTATAGTCCAATGGCCATCGAGTGCCGACCTTGATCACTAATTCCTTTTTCTTTTTTCTTTTTCTTTTACTTCCTACCCACATCACCCAGCCAGGTCAAGCCCGCAATGCCACAACAGAAAGCCTCTCGAGCGAAGGCTCCGCCGCTGCCGGCCGACTACAAGGCCATCGCCGAGCAGTACGCGAAGGCGAAGCGCCAAAAAGAAATTGAAGAGGCCAGCAGATCGCCCGAGGAGATACAGGCCGAGAAGGAGAGGGCAATGCTGCTCGAGAAGCAACGCGCGGTCTTCGAGTCCCGGCGCAAGGACGCGTACGAGCGCAGGTGGTGGTGGACCGTCGGGTTCTGGGCCTGGATGCTGTGTCTGCACGCCGTTGGCATTGCTTTCTTCACTAGCGGGTTTCTTTTGACGCGGCTGGTTCTGGATGAGAAATCCAATTGCACGGCGTCGCCAATCGAGCTCTCGTCGAGCTGGAAGGGCCAGGGCACTGTTGAAGGCGGCTGCTGGCACCCCAAGTCCTTCGACAAGGCTGTGGTTATCGTCATTGACGCTCTGCGATATGACTTTACGGTCCCCATTGACGACCAAGCCCCCTTCCACAACGCACTCCCCTTCTTGCACGAGACCGCTGTCAAGTCTCCCGAGCACGCCTTCCTGCGCCCCTTTATTGCCGATCCGCCAACGACCACGCTCCAGCGCTTGAAGGGGCTGACCACGGGTACACTACCCACATTCATCGACGCCGGTAGCAATTTTGCTGGTACTGCCATCGAGGAGGATAACTTGCTTATGCAACTAAAGGATGCCGGAAAGCGCATTGCTCACCTCGGCGACGACACTTGGTGGTCCCTTTTCCCCGGCTATTTCGAAGCCAACGTGAGCCGCGCATATGATAGTTTCAACGTATGGGATCTGCACACGGTAGACAACGGTGTCATCGATCACATTTTCCCTTTGCTCAAGCAGGAGCACAAGGGCAAGTGGGACGTTCTTATTGGTCACTTGCTTGGCGTTGACCATGCCGGTCACCGATATGGGCCGGATCATGCGGCAATGAAGGAAAAGCTTCAACAGATGGACGGCTTTATTCGCGACCTTGTCGCACAAATCGACGATGATACTCTTTTAGTCGTCATGGGAGATCATGGCATGGATGCAAAGGGCGACCACGGCGGAGAGAGCGATGACGAGGTCGAGGCGGCCCTGTGGATGTACTCCAGGCGCCCGTTCTTTGGTCGGACTAAGCCCGAGCTCAAGGAGCCGCCCACGATGGCCAAGATCAGGCCAGTCAACCAGATTGATCTCGTTCCGACCTTGGCATTGTTGCTGGGCCTTCCCATCCCTTATAACAACCTCGGACGCCCCATCGAGGAGGCTTTCGCTGGCAAGAAGGGCAAAGCCTGGGACAACCTCGCGACTGTATCACGTATCACTGCCGCTGGCATCCAGCGATATCAAGACTCGTACTTCGCTGCTCGTGGCATCGACCAGTCCAAGAGCGCTACCGCTGGCCACGTGTCGCATCTCTGGAGGAAAGCCGAACGCTCGTGGCAGTGGAAGTCATGGCAGGAGTCCTACGGCTTCTTCAACTTGTTTCAGGAGGAGACTCTGCGCGTTTGCAAGGATTTGTGGGCTCGCTTTGACGTGCCCAAGATGGTAACGGGCATTGTGGTTATGGCAGTTGGCGTCCTCACGTTGCTTGTGTATGCCTCCCGCGATGCTGATGAGGACTTTGCCGTTCTCGACGATCTCGAGCTCGACTTGGCGGAGAAGAAGTTGGAGCTCCAAGGTGTCCAGGCTGACGCGGCCACTTCGTACAAGACTCTACACAAAAAGGTTTTACTTACTGCCATCCTTGGCGCGGTTCCCGGAGCAGCAGTCGGTGCCGGATACTCCATCTTCACTGGGCCTGAAGATCTCGTTTACGCTCTCGCTGGCGCCGCTGTCACCAGCGCAGTTGGTGTGCTGTTTTCATTGTACGGCTTTGGCAAGACTTTCCGGAACCTCCTGCCCAACACCTTCTGGGGTTGGCTTGCTGCCGTCTTCACAGTTAGCCAGTCACTCGGTTTCGCCTCAAACTCCTACACCATCTGGGAGGACTCAATTCTCCTTTTCTTTATCACGACTTTTGGCGTGGCCAACGTCTTCGCCGCATTCTCTGTTCCAACAACGAGGGAGCGCACCCTCGCGATCTACCACTCAGTTGTCTTTGTCGTTCTTGGTCGTCTGGCATCATATTCGAAGCTCTGCCGCGAGGAGCAGATGCCCTACTGCACATCCACTTACTACGCTTCGGCTACTTCATCGACATCTGCCACGTGGCAGCTGGCCATCCCATTCGCCGTCGCCCTTATCCTGCCTTCCATCGTCCAGTCTTTCCTGTTACCCACGCGATCCTGGGAGGGACTTGCCCCGGCGTGGATTGGGTACGTCTATCGTATCGGCCTCTTCATGTCGGCCGCCTACTGGGTCCTCGATGCCGCGGACAATGGCGAGTGGTTCCCAAGTTTGCCGGCCAAGACCCTCAAGACTGCCGGGGTATATCTGGCCCAAGTTATTCTCGCCTTGGTCTTCGTTGCTGGAACCACTGCGTTCGTCTGGGCGCCGCCATTGGTTTCTATCCTGACGACCCCAACCAAGACTGGAACCACCCAGATCACGGTACTCGGCTACGGCAACACGAACGGAGCTAGATACTTGCTTCTACCCATGAACATTGTTGGGGCTTGCATCCTCCTCTCCAAGCCGATGGGAGGGGGTGCGCTAGCCCTCATGTTCTGGCAGATCATGTCGCTTGTGGAGATGCTCGACCTCAACTCCCTTACGAACGAGGCCATCGGCCCCATCATGCTTGGAGTCATTGGCAACTTTGGCTACTTCAAGACGGGTCACCAGGCTGTCCTTAGCAGCATTCAATGGGACAGCGCCTTTATTCCGCTCTTCTCCATCCGGTACCCCTGGAGCCCCATCGTCGTGGCCCTTAACACATTTGGCAGCCAGATTGTCGCGGTTGCTGCCGTCCCGCTCGTCGTACTCTGGAAGGTTGGCCCCAAGAGGAAGGGAATTCTCGAGAGTGTCAGCAGAGGACTGGGCATTTTCATCGCCTATTTCGCTGTCGAGTCGCTTGCGACCATGGCTTGGGCTGGTTGGCTGAGGAGACATCTCATGCTCTATAGGGTGTTCAGCCCTCGCTTTATGATGGCGGCGACCCTGCTCCTGATTGTGGACCTGGTTGGCCTTGTGATTACACTCATTGGTATACGGTCCAACACGATGGCTGTCAGTGAGGTCTTTGGTTGGGTTGAATAATACAAATCATCGGCATGGGGAGGCGGAAGTGAATTATATAAATGGCTTCACCATTACATCACAGTTGCACAGGGCGTGCTTGTTTGGCAAATTAGAAAGTCAATGAAGGACCAGTACAACGATAACAAAGAATGAAGTTTGCATTGGCTTCTGACTTCCTTGCTTAGTGTTCCGATTTCCCATGCCTCGGTACCTAGGTAGGTAGTAGGTCCCCTTTAGTGGAATCCCAGTGGGCGGAACAGTGGACGGCCGGCACGTCGGGCATGATGCGCCATGTAAAGGATGTTTGAATCACAATGAGGCATGCCCCCGATGAAGATCACGTGGAGGGCAAGTTATGTAAGTGTGCCTGAACTGTAACCATCATTCAATTGCAGTTGGCCGTTCTTCCTACAGAAGCCGGGCATTTCCTTTGCTATAGCTAGGGGAGCTCGGCCAAGAGCTTGAGTTTGTCTAGATCCTGATTATATAAGCCGCTGAATTCGATACTTATCGTATACTTTAGCTGGCGTAGCTGCTTGGTGGCCATGAAGGTACTCTTGAGGTACATGGATCTGTGCATACCCAAAACCCCACCTTGGTCGGTAATCAGCTTGCGGGCCTGCCGTAGCCCCGGCAGAGCACAGGGCACGTCGTGATCTAGCGGCAACAATTGTGTGTCAATTTTTTTTTATTTCTTTTTTGTCTTCTGCCCCTTCCGGTTTGCGTCGTCGGATGCGCCTGGCTCAGGACCAACAGCCCAAAGTATTCTCCCTCACGAACATCAACCGCAAACGAAAAGGAAAGAAAAAAAAAAAACCACCTCCACTTGCTCTCTCCTCCTTCTATTCGCAACGCTCCGCTCTCTCCCACCCGCCCCGGCGACCAGATTTGAACAGTCACAAACCCACACACACACACACTGAGCTGCTTTTATCCCAGTTCATAACAGTGCACATTCATTTTTCTTCCCTCGCCCATCCCTCTCACTTATCTCCGCACATCGCTCTCACGCGTCTCCATCTCCAGCTCCTCCTGCCCGCCCCTCGCCTCATCGTCGAAACCTTTTTTCCGGCGTCCTGGTCCTCCTGTCATCGCACCTTTTCGAGTCAGTTCCAGGCATTTTCTTTTGAGCCGCCCGCATCACCGAGGTATCTACAATCCCGCCCGCCCGCCTACACTATCCTCCTCCCACTCCTCCTACGATCTTTTGTCCTCGGCACTCTCGCCGCCGTCTTCCACTGGCGCATTTATCACCCATCTAACATTCCATCAACAGAAGGGTCCTTTATTGTCGACCGTCCACCCGCGAAAACATCTCCAAAGCAAAGCGAGTAGCCCCGCAGAAACCTCGAGCTTTCCCTCTCCCGCCTTCATCACCTCCTTCAATCCGCCATCCTACCTTCTTCGGCCCGATTGCGCCTCAAACCAGATTTCTCACACGCAATCATGGCAACCAACGGTAACTACACAACCCCGGACCAGTTCAAGGACACTGTCGAGCCAACATCATCAGGTTCCACCGCTACCAACGATGCCGCATCGGCCGGTAACAACCACCTCAGTAAGGATGAGGTTGGCTGGTACTTCGTCGAGCAATACTACACAACCCTAAGCAAGAACCCGGATAAGCTTCATGTACGCCCGCGAGCCGTCCCCTGTTCGGCCTGGATCTTGCCCTGTTAACATATAGCTCGCAGCTCTTCTATGGAAAGCGCTCCCAGTTCGTTTACGGCATGGAGGCAGAGGTTGCCAATGTTTCTGTTGGTAGACAAGTACGTTGTTTGCTGTTGTTGCTTGTTGGATAATCTCACATTGGCCGCATGCTAATTCTTATGCCGTTGTTCTTTGTAGGCTATCCAAGAGAGAATCAAGAGCCTCGACTTCGAGAACAGCAAGGTCCGCATCACGAATGTCGACTCCCAGGCCTCGTTCGACAATATTGTCATCCAGGTGATTGGTGAGAGCTCCATCAAGTCAGCCGAGCCGAAAAAGTTCGTCCAGACTTTCGTCCTTGCGCCCCAACCCTCCGGCTACTTCGTCGTCAACGATATCCTGAGATACATCAACGACGAGGACGAGGATGAGCCCGTTGCCGAGTCCGCTGCCGCCCCCGAGGAGCAGGCTGCCCCTGAGGTGGCCGAGGCCCCTGCTCAGCCAGAGGTCCAGCAACCCGCAGTTGAAGAGACCCCCGAGGAGGCTTCCGGATCTGCTGTTGACGCCGACGGCTTAGAGAAGAAACTGGAGGAGGCCAGCGCAGCCCCCGAGGACGCTGCTCCCAACGGCGAGGCCGAGACTGCCGCTCCCGAGCCCACCAAGGTTCCCGAGCCCAAGGTTGAGGAGCCCGCAGCCGACGTGGACGCCACTGCTAAGGCGATTGCCGAGGAGGACATTAAGGAGCCTGAGAAGCCCACCGACCCCTCCCCTACTCCTGTCGCGGCTACCAAGGCTCCTGCCGCTGAACCCGAGAAGCCTGTGCCCGCTCCCGCTCCTGTTCCCATGAAGCCCATGTCCTGGGCCAGCCGTGCTGCTGCCGCCGTCGGACCCAAGCCCGTCGTCCCTCTCCCCAAGACTGCCACTCCTCCCGCTCCTGCCCAAGCCAAGGCTCCCGCCCCCGCTGCTGCCTCTCCTCAACCAGCTGCTGCCGCTGCTCCCACCGCTGCCAAGGAGCCCCCGGCCCAGGCTGCGAAGGATGATTCTCCCTCCGCCGAGTGGCAGTCCGTTGGCGCCGACTCCAAACGTCAGAACCGCCCCCAGTCTATCTCGCAAGCGCCTACCGAGAACTACGGTACGCTGGGATACGTTAAGTACGTGACCGACAAGGTCAAGGCGGATGATCTCAAGGCCGCGCTGGCTGCCCACGGCGAGCTCACCTACTTCGACATCAACCGCCAGAAGGTAAACATCAACTCATGTGGTCAATTATGAGTGTTTGAGACTAACGATATCCTAGAACTGCGCTTTCGTCGAGTTCGCTACCGTCGCCGGCTACCAGGCTGCCGCAGCCGCCAACCCCCACACGGTCAATGGCGAGAACATCATTGTTGAGCCCCGCCGCCCTAAGGCTACCGCCTACGGCGGCAGCAGCTACTCCACCCCCCGTGGCAACGCCACGGGTGGCGGTCGTGGCCGTGGTGGATTTGAGGGAAACCGTTCCGGCAGCCAGGGAAACGCCCGCGGTAACTTCACCGGTGGTCAGGCCCGTGGTCGCGGCAGCGTTCGTGGCCGTGGTGCCTCTCAGACGGCCGCTTAAAGTTGCGGGAGTCCCCGCGCGGCAGTCCGAAACCCGTCCAGTATCGACGGTTTTTCTCCGTCACAGGAACGGGCGCTGCTAATTGGCGTTGCCGACCATCTGCATACCTTGACTCGCTCATCTAGTGACACTGTGTCCAAAGGGTAGCTTCTACCACCTGCCCTCAGACTTCATACACCGCGACCACAATCGAAACAAGGATTCGAAATTGGTCTTCAAAACTACAAACACTCTCACGGCCGTCGGACGATGCCCGGCAAGGAAGGAAAAGAAAAGCTATATTCCATTTCTTATCTTTTTGTTAGGAGTCCGCAGGGCAAAGGTGTGGTATCTACACACTTCTTCCTGCAACCCACACACCACAAATCACCCTTTTCATTTCTCTTGTTTTTTTTATTTTGTTATGTGCGTACGTTTCTGAAGCATTTGCATCCGCGCTGATGGTCCGGCCCTACATTTTTGCGGACAACTGCAGCGTAACGTTTGAGCTAGCTTTTTCCTTCACTGCCATGATATAATTGATGGTGACGAGTTGGGAACATGTCTATCTGTATATTTGGCGAAGTTGGGGCAGAGGTGGAATGGACTGGGAGAGAGGGAGAGGAAAATGGGAAAGCATGAACAACAAAAGTTTTGGCGTTCCAATGCTTTGCCGAAAGATAGTTTTCAGTCTTCGGGGGGAATGGAACGGGAACGAATGGGAACGGGGAGCCAGGCATTGGGTGATGATGCTGTACCATACCAAGACCGACACACACAACCACCACACAGAGGATCCTTAACCGGTTCTTTTAATGACAAAGAGACAACAATCACTAATAGCCGTCCTGAACTGCTTGTAAACTGTTTCTAGTTGATGCTACATTACCTGGATTTGCCCCTGGCAGGTTGTCAAAAGTGTTAGGACAAGCACCTGAACATTCAACATGAAGAACCTCTCCCTTCCACCCTCATAAGGAAGGCCAAACAAGAATGCCTGTACCTTCACTCAGGCCCACAATATTTTGCTTGTCTCGTCTTTGCTGTTCTTATGCTCTCCGCCACCTTACCTGACTGACCTTACCAATGACGGCAGCCATGTTTGTATGTTTAAGCCTAGAAAGGCAACCCTTCTCGTAGGTACGAAGGCTTGCCCCAGCCTATATATGCACGTGGGCGCAGACGGCTGGGCGCCAGACCCCTTACATAGTGTTCTGCGTAGCATACACACCCACACCTACACAGCCTAAAACCAGAATACTGTGTCAAAGCCACAGGTAGACGTGGTTGATCATCAAACACTAGCCGCGGGCCTCAATATAGCTAGGAGTGCTTCAACAATTTGTAGAAAAGAGGAGGGAGGATAGGGAGAGGTGCTTGTCTGGAGATGGAACGAGAGAAAAAGACCAGGTTAGGGTGCATATACCTCGCCCACGCTTCCAGCAGCCTGTAGTACGGCAGCAAGGGGACGACGACGCAGAGACGAACCGGACCAAATGTGCAGGAAAGTAAGGGGTTGGCATTCTTGTTTGTCGGATAGGTGGTGACGAAATGGACGTTGATCGGTTCCGCCTTTCTGGCGTTGATTGAGAGTTTGGTGTTTGGACACGAGTTGATGCGCCTCTGCCAGCCGAGACTGAGCCAACTTGCCACACCTAACCAGGCTCTAGCCGCACCAAACTGGGTACTTTTTTTGGTATTAACGAGTCTCCGACCCATGTTTGATCATGGTCAATTGTTGAGACCGAGGGTTCTGAGGAGTTTGGGCTCGGAAACTAGAAGGATAGATTTCTCAGGTGCTGCCTTTCGCGTTGAGGGGCCGGGGAACAAGGGGACAAGCCAACGATGAAGCACTGTAATGGCAATGTGTAGTTTGCCGAGTGGAAACATCAGATGCGTCGGAGGATTATACGTAGCGCTTACAAACACCGCCTCTCAGTCAATGGGCCCGTTTCGAACCTGGTGGCGATGTGCGATCACTCATTGATGGCAGGCACATAGGCTGGACACGGATACCGCGGGTGGAATACGACGACTTTTGTTCCTGCAGATTTTCATATCCTCCCCTTACTTCTGAATTGGAATCCATAACCCACATTTCTGATCAAAGAGTGGTGGTGAGGTAAAGACAAGCTACGTGTTGGCCATCAATGTCGTTTGTATCGCCACTCCATTGGGATACGCCTAGCGTAGGCACCCAAACGCCTGGACGGAGAGGGAACTGCCCCCAGTGACCTTGATCAGCGGTGAGAAGATGGTGGAATAAGCTCATTTACAGACAAGTTTCCGAATGCGTCCGCTGTATCGCATGTATCACGTTGTGCCGTTTCGACTATATGGATATCGAGGGAGCTATGGGATGTTAAAGGTGATTACCTAGCAAGCTTGGTGTGTACCTTCCTTACCTTGACGGATGGCCAAGCACACCCCTGTCAAGCTTCAGGAACACCCGCTGTCGGCCGATAAGCGCTGTTGCTTGGCGGTCCATCCCACCGCCAAGGCAAGACCGCACGTGAACCTTCGTCATATTCGCGCGCTCCCTGGCGCCACCCCCCCACCAACATCGCCGCCGCCGCGGAAAACGCGTCTCTTGCCGGGCCCATCATCTACAACTCCGTCGTCGCATTTCACATCTCGAGTCGCAAGACCCGCCAGAGGCCGCCCAGAATGTCCGCCTCAGATCAAAACAACCAACAGCCACCACCCCAGACCGAGCCGCATCGAACGACACAAACACAGGCGCACGACCACGCCGTCCAACCCCCGACGACGGGATCCGACACGCAGACCGGCGCCGCGTCAATAGCAACAGCGGCAAGCGCCGCAGCACAACCACCACAACGCCCACAAGAAGGAGGAGGCGAAGGGGGAGGAGCTGGAGAGGAACATGAACACCAGCCGCCGCCGGGCTCCCCTCCACTCCCGCCAAAACACACCCCAGTGACACCGGGTCCGCGCGCAACCCGATTCACCCAGCTCTACGATCTCGCCCTCCAGCGTACCCTCCAAAAGGTCAGCTACGACAACTTCGCGTCGTGCTTCCCAACAATTGCCGTCCATGCGCCCAACACGCTGCGCAACGTCCAGAAGCAGATGGTTGACTACCTCGAGGAGAGGTGTAACGTGCGTCTCCGCCCTCGTTCTCTTCTGTTCGTTCCCACTAGTGCTGCTTCACGTCGTCGAATTGCAGTCTCCGCAACCGACGGGTGCAGTTCGCAATCGAATCCAAGAATGGGTTGGCTGACCACGGTGGGATACATACAGAAGGACTTCCAATCGATCCTGGTAGACCGCGATGTCATCCGGAAACTTAACGACTTTGAGAACCTCGTCAGCGACGCCGAGCGCAGGAGACAAGAAAGCGGCGACTCGGCAGAAGAACCGATTCCGTAAGCAGCCCCCTTCCCCGCGTGTCTCTGTCTCTGCACAACCCTTTCCTCTCTCAGGCTAACACGCGCATTCCCTCTCCCAAACAGACCGCACCTCCTGTCCCCCGACGAGGTTCTCGCAGCCCACCTTGCGCCGCGCCTCGCCTCGCAGCAGTCCCACCTCAACGCCCGCCTTCAAAACACACAAGCCTCGAACGAGTCCCTCTTCGCCACCATCCAGTCCCAGCGCGCCGAGATCGATGCCCTCCTCGCCCAGCTCGAGAGCCACGTCGCCGACATTGACGGCGCCAACGCCATGCTGGTGGACGTCGCTCCCGAGCTGGCTGCTGAGGCGCGCGCTTCCGAGGCTCAGATGTCAGGAATGTAATGGACACAAGGGAAAGTGAAGAAGGTGAACAAGAGGAAAGGAAGAAAGGCTGATTTTTTTTTTTCCGTCGAGCTTGTTTATGGAGTGCATTAGATACCACTTTGATATTACCAGGGTCTGTATCCATTTCCCTGCCTGAAGCCTTTCTTAGCCGATGTCAATGAATGAGTGGCATGCACGGCTTCATCGAGACCGACGTGTTGGTGGAACGAACCAATATACGGGGCTTGCAGCGCACCATGGTCCGGTGGGTTACCTCACCACGCAAGTCACATCATCACGCAGGCTGATCAACATCAGAGTTGTTTTGAATATTTAATTTTATGCAGTGGGGGTCTACCTAGCCACTCAATATGGCGACAGCAAAGGTGGGCGGGCTTAGAGACTCCCATTACTAACGTATATGGGAATCGCCAAGGCTTCCGCAATGCTGATGCTGAGCATCTTGTGCAGCACTGCAATCGAGACTGCAAAAGAGAAAGAGAGCCAGAAAGATAAGTAGAAAAGAGTTAGGAAAATAATTCCTTTAACAACGCCACCCAATGATAATATGCGCGGCCGGTAATGCTCTCCCACTCTCGCCTGCCATGAAGGACATAGGAGATGAGCCGAGGCTAGAAAAATTGGAGAAAAATAGAAGAAAATCAACATCCAAAAATGCATATGCAGTGTCGTTCCACCTGGTTTTGTTTTGTCCGCCGTACCTCCTGCCTGTGGGTATGGCAGATCCGTGTCATTTATGTTTGTGATTCGTTCTCGTGACGCTGCAGAAAGGCTCTCGATATAGAGAGCAAGTAATATGTATATGTGCAGTAGAAGTGAGGGAGGAATAATGAACGCTTTAAATCCTCCTGTTTTCCGTGTGGATAACTTGCCAAGGGCCAAAGAAGTCGATCTCGCCATACGTCGGCGGCAGGACTCGGACCATGCGACCCGTTGCCCAGTCCACGAACCATTGCTTCCCCTTGCTGATGATGTAGTTTGACTTCCGCGGGCTCTTGAACAAGAGAACTGAGTAGCAAAGCTTGGCATACAGCAAGTCATGGGCAGCAGTCCATTGGTGCTCGGGGGCCCATTTGCCGGTGTCTGGGTCGATGGCCTCATTCGGATACGATGTCGTAGATAAGCGGCTACTGATCTGCTCATTGCGGGCGGGTCCAGGGCCGTAGATGGACTCGGTGTCTACGATAGCCGTCTCGCCATCGCCAACAGGAGACTCATCGATGACAGGTTCGTCTAGAATAGCCTCCAACACCGACGAGGACGGGAAGGGGTCGGGACTCTCGGCAGAAGCCACACGGTGCAACTCCGGACTGATAGGGCGCGGCGTCGGTACGGGATAGTCGTTCGTCTGCGCTGGCGTCTGGCCCCGGAACCAGCGGATGCGTTGAATCCGGGGGATGCTCTGATCGCGGGGGTAATCTCGGTCGTCGATAGGGGCGGCAACATCGATGGCGGCGAAAAGCGCTTCCAACCATTTCACCATGGTGCTCAACTCTATACATGAGAGAAGGAACTGATCCGTCTCAGCCCTAACACGGATGACATATCGCCTCCTAGGTTGAAGTCAGTTTCTTGGCAGGTCTTGGCACGGAATGAGGCTGAACACAAGGGCAACCCACTTCTTGTAGTCGGCAGCAATACCGACGTCTGCGTGCTGGAGACTGTACGCCTTGTCGAGAGAGGCTTTCCGTACCCAGGGCGGGTTGTCTGGCGATATCGTCGGTCCGTCCCTCGTCCGACCCCAGCCCCAATCCTTCTTCACGTTGTAGAAATTCAAGGCGGTACCCCGTAGTTGGACGAAGGTAGTGTGCCAGTTTCTGTCTTCTGCCCTCTTGGTGGTGTTTTCAATCTCCATCTTCTTCACCCATACGCCCTCCAACTCTATGTCGCACGAATAGCCCGGCAAACTTTCTACCGGTCCATGCTGGGCATTGTTCTTGCTGGCCAACGGTCGTCTTGGTCTGGCGTCCCGCTCATAGGGGGGCGGTTGCGAAGGTCGTCGAAGAGGGTACGTCATGACTTCCTGGTAGAAATAATCCTCCTCCATCGATAGTCGCCGCCGGGGAGGCGGCGGCTGGGCAGCGGTATTAGATGGTCCATTTCCGCAGTAGTGGCTGCGGGAATCCATGGGGCAGGCGAAGTTTTATACGACAGTAGTATAGCGACTCGTGTCAGGCCGGGACCACCAAACAGCGGGTGGCAGCGGAGGCAGAGGCCCGTTCCCATGTGCCTGTCTCGGATGGCTTGCCTTCGCGACGGGGGGGTCCACGAAATGTGCTTGGCCCGGGATTTATGCTGACCCGCAAATCTTCATGGTGAGGGCCTTTTGTCGGCGGCTCTGTCTTGGGGCTGCACGGGGCAAAGTAACGTAAAACAAATGCGAAAGCAGGGCCCCGGGATGAGACCGGTAGATTGAGGTGAGATCGGGGGAGTGGGTAAAGACAGCCAGGAACGAATGTGTAGGCAGGTATGGAGAAGGACCAGGTGGTGGGTGATGATGAGAAAATGTGGATGAGGGAGGGAGTGATGCGCCGAGAAGCGCGGAAGCGGTGGCAACGAGCGGAGGGTCCAAGTGGTCTTCGCTCCAACCACAGGGGGTCAACGTCAGTTCGTTGGAGGTTTGCGAGACGAGCAGGCACCGCACAGAACAGAGCAGGATAGAGGAACGAGATGGGATGGAAGGCAGGTCAAGGTTGCAGTGGGCTGGCGGGAGGAGGGAAGCAGAAGGGGAGGCGTCGAGTCATCGAGTGGTGCCAGGGCGAAAGAGCCGCTCAACGAGGTCGGACTGAATAGGAAGCCCGATGATGGAAGCAGCGCAACGCGGATGCGAGGAAACGATTTCCTATGCAGGGCCGAAGAAGCGCAAGAGGTTGGAGACGTTGCCCGGAACCGCCCAGCAAGGGCAGTAAGGCCGTGTCGAACGACCAGGGCCGCAAGGGGAGCTTGGCTCTGGGGGCGGATCTGTTGCGTCGGTTCAGGCCAGGACAGGCCCTGTTGAAGAGAGAGTGACAGGTGGAAACGTGCTGAGTTGCTGACAAGGACAGCGTGATATGGCGAGAGGATAGGGTAACAGAAACCAGAGGTGGGCGAAGAGCGTGCACAGTAATTGGTGTGTTCGTTCCTGGCTGGGGACTGCACGAATAGTGGTGGTGATGGGAATAGTGTATGTAGATGGATGGGAGGGACCCGTGAAGGGCGTGCAGGTATGGTGTGAGTCCAGCGAAACAGGTCGCGGATGGGTGCTGAAAGGTGATCGGGTTGTGATTCTCGTCTCGGATGCGAAAGTTGGGGTGCTACAGTCGGTGCCCTCCCTCTCGGAGCTTTTGCGAGGTATAGGGCGATTGGATTTGATACCGTCGTAGGTACTCCGTAGAGAGAGAGAGAAGCAGGAGAAAAGAGACGGAGGCTCGGGTTATGGCCGTGCGGCAGGTGTGGACGTAGCAATGGCGCGGTTAAGGCCCAGTCAGTCATAGAAGGGATATGAGCACCATGGTGTACGTGCAGTACGTGATGAGATCTGCGAGGTGTACTTGGTCTGCCCCGGGGTGCGATCTGGCGGATTCGCTCGTATCCATGTACGAGGAAATCAGGTCGGAGGCTGCCCGGACAGCACCTTGAGGGCACCTGCTGTGTTTGCTTAGTGGGCAAACGACAGTGGACAAGACGGGAGACGAGAGCCGTCGATGCTCTTGCTGGAGGTTTCAGGCGAGCGAGGCGAGGCAATGCAAGGCAGGACAGGCAAACGGCAAGGGAAGCGGCAAGGCGAAATGGTGGTGGTGGTTGTGGTGGTGGCTGCCGTCAAGCAATGGCAAGCGCAGCGCAGAGTTAGGGCGACGTCGGTGCCGACGATCGTCAAAACGAACCCTCGGCGGTCACTGGTCCACGAGCAGTTCTTGGCCGGTGAATGGCCAGCGGTTCATCTGGTTGGTGAAATACAAAGGGCCCTTGCCAATGTTGAAAGCAAGAACAGCGCCGAGTGGACCGAGGCCTTTTGTCAAAGGGACTAACCGTTCTTGGGAGGTGGGAAAAACAGACATGCAGCGACCGGGGTGGCGCGGGCCCATGGCCCATGAGCCAATGGCCCATCCATTGACGTCGTAGTTCACAATTAATTCAATTCGACCACACCCGGCTCAGGGCCCTCACTTACATAGTGGTAGGCTCCTGGGGCCTCTCTCTCTCGGTCGCTGGTGATGCTATCTATCTGCCTGCCGATAGGATGTACCGTACGGTATCAGTGGGATTAGGTTTTAAGCGGAATCAGGGATGGGGGGAGGGGGCCGGGAATTTGGCATATACGCAGGAATACAGACTTGCCATGCAGTGGATTGTGGTTGAAGGAGATGCAGTCGTACAAGCTTACAAAGCCAAAAGGTCGCGAGTGGGAGAAGGTACACTAGTGTAGGTCAGCGCGTTAAGGCAAGGGACTTCTGTCGAGCGAGTCCCTCCATTGGAACCTTTGAAAGTACTCACCTTCCTTATTTCGACAGTGAGGTACCAGTTGCCGAGGTCAGCTGGATCATGGGTACTGCCCCCCCCCTCAAATAACACCAATCACGGCATTACGGTATTATGGCACAAAAAGGCGGGGAGGGTCTAGCCCGGTACAGGCCCGCCTTCCGTGCACGAGTCGGACGCGACCCCCGAGAGAGAGAGAGAGAGAGAGAGAGAGTATTCTTTCATCATCGTTGTTTCCCCTGAGTCGAGTCGAGTAACATCAAATAAAGCAGGTGGGCATCAAGGTCGCAACGTGGCTCCGATTCAGCAAGTAACATTTCAACAAGAAAAATGCAAGTACCGTATGTGTGTCTGCGTCATCCTAATTACAAGGCCATCTCGGAAATAACAGAAGCGGAGCCAAGCCGGGGATGTTGACTTGATGACTGGCTGTGGGGCGGAACCCATTCCACCGTCTTTAAGGTACCTACCCAAACTAAGAGTGTCTACGGGTACTCAAGTGCGGGGGTATCCGCCGTGCCCGGCGTGAAGCAAAGCCTGTAGTTTACCGCGAGCGAACTCCTCTGCATCATCACATCTACAGGTAATCTAGCTCGCCCCCCAGATGTTTGCTGCAAGTTGAGACCCCTTTCGTGATTGCTAAGCCACAGTAACACCAAAAGAAACTATCCAAGCGACTCCCGCCTTTACATGTAATGCGAC